GTGTAAAGGGTGAATGTGACCCTGCAGCATCCCTGCACTATTGGAGAGCTTGGCCAAAAAGAGGGAACGCTGTTTTAAAAGGCCACCACCCCCAAAACAAACCCACCAAAACAAAAGAAAACAACCCCATTGCTGTCCTTAGCTAAACACATTCTCCACACATGTTCTGCTCCAGGGAGGAAGTATTATTTTTTACAATGCCACTGTCTTTAATTGTCTCTCTTATCTTCCTACTATCACGAACAAAAGGAACATTATGAGCTTGCAGACAGGTCAGGCAGATAAGTTAATTCAGAGAGGTCATTCTTGCGACTCTGATGTTTTCTTAAGTAGTGGTAAAGATCAAGGCTTATTACACAAGACTTTTTACTTCCAGGTGTAGTGATCTGTTGAAGCATTCTGGGCACCTCAGTAAAATTAAGGGGGCATATGTGTTTATTTATCCCCATCTTGCAATGTTCAGAGGAAAATCTGGTTTTGATTTAGTGCTGTGTTGAGTCTAGCTCGATTTTGGTGTAAACCCGCTGGAAACAGTTTTGTCATCTGTGACAGTATCAAATTATCCACAGTGGATCACTGCAGTCTAGCAGGCCTTAGTGGATCAGTCAGTAGTACCAGTTTGACTGCTACAGCTGGGTTTATCATTCAGCTTTGTGATGGATAAATGATTCTTGGGCATCTCTACAGAGATTTTCAGCTGAGCTGATGGAATTTCATAAATAAGCTTGTTCTTTATTAACAAAATTAGAGGCATGGTTCAGTATTTCAGCTTAGCACACTTCCTCGAGCCAGCAGGCCTATATGGCATCAGCTGATGCTAATTAACCAGGGCAGCAGGAGTGGTGTAACCCTCCAGCAGAGAGCTCAGCGTGGGCTTCCTGCCTCAACAGTTACCTGTGGTGTTGGCAGGTCTCCCCCCTGACACGGCTAGAGCTTGCTCAGGTAAGTGCACCTGAGCTGTAAAAATGTTATGAAGTGATGGCACTGTAAGTGATTCACAAATCAAAATTCCCAATCTGCACAAAATTATGTAGTTGCATGTTATTTTTCCCTTTAGAAGAGCGGGGATCTGACTGATGTCTGTGATGTCTGTGCCTTTTGGGCTACAGGGTAGATGTGCTTCCCTCAGTGCAAACTTGGGTGTACTAAGGGAGTGTGTATGGGATCCACTGTCCCACTGCTTAGAAGGCTTGAGCAAGGGATTATGTACAGTTTGATTGCTCCCTGAAATATCTCCATAATATATAACCCTGAAGGTCTGTGCAGTTGCACAAAGCTTTATCCAACCCAACAGAAGTGCACCTTATGGAATCACCCTGGATTGGATTACAACAGCTGTGTCTGCACCTACGCTCAGCTCGAGTCTCCTCCCGCAGGAGCTTGTCGGTTCATTTTAAGACGTACAGCAGGATCAGCTGAACGCTTCCCCCCCCAGGTCCGTTCACTCAGAGATGTCCTAATTAGGTCACTGAGAAAATCAAAGATACAGAAACTGGATCGAGTGCTCACCAACTGGCTCCTGCATGTAACTGCTGCATTTTAGTTTAGTTTCTCCTGAGATGTTTCCTGATGTCTCTGAGAATGTTACCCATAAAAAGGCAGGCTGCTCGTCAAGGAGGCAAGTTAGTGAACACATGAATATTTTGAGCCACAGCGTGTAGCATTCAGTATTTATCACTACAGGAAAGAGCCATGTGACTTCTCTCTCACATGGCAGCTCCTTGGTTTGTGCCTTACAGATTGGAAAACAGCAAAATAGCTGGCAGGATCACTTTTGAAGAAAGGGCAAGGCTCTGGAGTGATCCACAGTGCTAACGCTTTAATGCAGATTGGTTCCTGCTCTTACCCCTTAAGAAAGCTCTGGGTACGTGAAGACAATGGACTTGCTAAAGCCAGAGATGAGTTAATGCTTTACTGGTTAAATAAAAGTGTCCAGTGACAAGTGTAACCACAGAAGTAGGAGAGTGGCCTGACAGGCAAGTGTGTTTAACCTGCTCCTTCGTGGAGCTGAATGCATTTTGTCCATGAAAGCATAAGCTGTGCGTGCATAAAGGTAGGGCTCAGTGCACCTCCTTTTTGGTACAATTTGAGAGGGAGATGAAGGACTGCTGGAGTGTTTCAGGGTATTGTTTCTTGGCTGGAACACACGTACTCCAAGACAAACAAATTTGCTCAATATTTTTATGAGTCTCTGAGCTCATCTGGTTCTGGCAGGGATGACTTGACTTCATCCAGAGAGACAGTTGGGGGGAGATCATTCCAAGTTTCCCTTTATTTGGGTAGTGGAACATGAGTAACTTCTTCCCAGAGCTGGAGGGAGTCGCCTCAGGCTCCTCATCACGCACAGTGTGTCATGCTGTGTCTCTCACGTCCCTCCACAGCACCTAGAGCAGCTCCCTTGTATGGCCCAACTGCAGTGCAAAATGTAATTGCCTCTGATGCAGCAATTTCAGCACAAGCACTTCGGACTCCGTGGAATAACGAATAATAATAAAGAAAATAGTCTTGCAATAAATGCTAATCACACCCTATAGGATTGCACTGATTTTGTCATTAGATAGTAGTTATTAAATGCAGAAATACTAACTTTCCCAGAACCGTAGAGGGTTTAGAGTTCTCTGTAAATATCCAATCTCCACTTTAAAAATACAGTTTATTTCCCTGTATAAATTCTTCATTATTCTGTAGTTAAGGCCAAGAGGCCTCATCATTTATCTGAGTCAGAAATGCCCGTAAGAGAACACAATCATCTACTAAGATGAGCAAACCTTGGAAAGTGAGGCAAAGGTTCTGTTCTGCAGGTGAACCCAAAAAGCCACAAAGCCTTCAGGGATGTGTGCATGTGTGTCTGTGACCTTTTAGACAACTCTAGCTTGGTAAGATTCACTATTCCTCCTTTTTTTTTCCTGACCTTTTGATCTTGATTATTGCACTGTCTCCTGTTCTCCTGAAGCATTTCTGCCCACTTTTGTCTCCCTATGTCTCTCTTCTTTTGCAGACTGTCTTTGCAAGGCATTCACTGCCTGATACAAGTTTATAGTGCCTGTTAATGTTGTTCCAAGCTTATGAACGTATCATTTATGTTGAGTAGGTGTCTCTGTTACATGCAAAATCAAGCTGGAGGCTGATTCCTATTTCATTCTTCTTCCTGACCTAGCAGATGTATCATCTCTTGATGATACAAACCAAATAAAGAATGGAATTTCTATGCCAGTCTGTCAGTCATAAGTAGGCCATATATTAGTCAAATTTTCAGAAGTGAACAGCAAACTATTTCTGAAACCTGGTATCTCCAAAATGTATGTGGACATTTGCACAGGGGAACTCTGCATTTTTGTTGTCAGCTGAGAGCTGTCATGTGATGGTTATGCTGGCTTGATCAACACTTGGCAGAAGAGGGTAAGAGCAAAACTGGGTAAAGAGTAAAATGGGAAGCTTTTCAACAAAGAAAGGATTTTTCCACAGATAAGATTTGCAAAAATATGAATCACTGAAACTGTTCAGAATAAATAAGGAAAAACTGATTTAAAAGCCTTCAATTTCAGATTTATTTCTAATGACTTCCAAATAAAAAGTCCTTATATTTGCTGTGGGAAAGTCCAAAGCTTACTTCACATGTAGGTGTAGCACTATTTTCATTGAGAGTTCAGAATGATGAGAGACCTGGCATGTCATCTGAATGCGGTGATGAAATATATCTGGCAATGAGAATTTCAGCCTGTTAAAGAGTGATTTTTATAGCATTACAAGCCTAATTGGCTTGGACGCCATTATTGAAAATAAGGAGGCAACAGCAGTGTTATATTTTCCTTGAATCTGAGTCTTAGAAGGAAACAGAGATGCAGGTTCAGGCATCTCTGGCTCTCCCTTTTAAGGCCAGAGGCTCTTTGCCTGCCCCAGTCTCACCCAGAGCATGTGGGCAGGAAGCAGGTGGAAGGAACTGGGGTCAGCCAATAGGCCCAACCTGACATCGTTGTTGAAACGAGGGTTTGCTGCTAAAGGCAAATTACTTCCTTCTGCCAGGAAAAGAAGGAAGTACAGTGGGTCTACTGTAGTTCCTCTATAGTGTTCCCCCTGGAGCAGGATGGCTTCACTTCTCTGCTTGGGGCATTAGCTCTGAAACAGGTTCCTGAGTTTGGCTGGCCTTTTACCTTCATGTATTTATTAACACTAATCTGTTTTGCATGAAATTTTTATTTTGTTGAATGGTTCACAACCATCCCAGTTTTATAAACTGGTCCTCAGACATATTCTCTTAGTACTAATAACACCAAAGCCCTGCAGCATGTTTGCACAGGGCATGAATTTGCAGAGAATTTGGTCTTAACTTTTGCACATAGAAATGGAAAAGTCACATTTACAAGAGCATTCTCTGTTCTTTCCCCTCCTTGTGTGGGTGTAGGTAGGGGAGTGGGGATAAATACTCCGTCCCTCTTTAGGCTCTACTCTAGCCAAGCTGTGATTCTTATCAATATGGTTTTTATGATAAAAAGTAGTGATTCCTCCACTTGAAATGCTAGCTGTAAACCTAGCCCAACCATTGAAAATCAAGAGCCAACCACTTCAGCATTCTGGAGTATATTCATTAAAAATACATATATATATATATATTTAATGGAACTCTACTTATTGAGCATGTAAATTGAGTTTTTGATTGACACAACAACTAGGAGCACACCTTTGGTTCTCCTGCAAGTAGAGTAGCAATAAAGAAATTTATATTTCTATGGTCAGACCCAAGAAACTGGAAACAGGAGGAGGAAAAATTTGAAATTTTAGTTTTAAGGGAGGATTTGATTGCTAACCATTGAATTTAGCTTTTCTCTAAACCCTTCCTTCACAAAACGTGCTACTCTGTAGGGCATGAGTCCCTGTAGACTGGCTGTGACATTCTGATCCCCAGGTAATTCATGCCGTCGTGTAAATTGTGTACAAATAAGGGAAAGAAAAAAGCCGGCAGTGTGTGCAAGCAGGCAGGGAGGCTGGGAAGGGGTGAAGGTGAGATGCACTGTTAGCGCTGCTGGTGAAAGAAAAGCAATTGCTGGGGCTGCGATTCCTGGCTGCGACTGCTGCCTGGGAAATGTGTGTCAACACCACACAAGCTGCTGCGCGGAGGAGGAGGAGGACGCGCCTCTCTTTATCCCTGCTCCGCTTGATGCTGCCGCCTGCGAGATGCCTTTGTCACAAACAGGAGTGCTCATAAGACGTTGCTGTTTGCATTGCCATCTCCCCCCTCCAACCCAAACAACAACAACAGCAGCAAAATCCCGTCTCTGGTATGTAGCAGTGAGATTCCACCCCCTCCCCCTACCTCGCTGCTATAAGATCCCGGGATGATCCAAGAGTGTATTTACTGGATTTGAGGGGTGTTGTTCCGGGGGGAGGAGGGGAATTCCACTGCTGCCTCAAAACCAGCAGTTTGCAATACCCTGAGCTGACCCTTCTGAACGTATTACATCAGATCAGAAACATTTTTGTTGCAGGAGCACAGCAGCCTATTCCTTTCACAGGAATGGTTTCATCTACTGCTTGCTGTTATCTTAATAACCTTTTCCTACTTGAACTGTCCTTTCTGCCAGTTTATTTTTTTCATGGAATCCCCTGGGGTTTGGCCATGAGCTGAGAGCGTAAGAGACCACTAAACAAGAAGAAAACCTCCAGAGAGCTCAGCTGAGCAACCTTATTTAAGTCATAAAAACCACTGCGTTTGACGAGCCAATAACGTAGATAAAACATTTAAAGCACAGAACGCCAAACACTTGTTTGTAAACCTAAGCCTTTATGAGCAGCACAGTTACAGTGATAAAAGAATATGATCCCATTCTGAGCCTCCCAGCCTACCTGCATCCCTGTGTTAATTCAGGGCGCTGCTGGAGAGGCTTTGTGAGTGTTGCAGGACTAATCCCTGTGGTTCCTTGATTATGAGCATGTGCAGAGCAGCCCAAGGTACTGCCGTGCATGTAGAGCGAACACACAGAGACGTGCCTTGCAATGCCATGTTGGTGCATGTGTTCCCACAACTGAGAAGGATACAGGGAGCCCGTCTGCCTTGCTGGTTTATCTGATGTGTTCTTGTTTCTGTTTCAGCATTCAGGAGAATTCCTTCAACACGACAGCTTTAGCAGAGTAAGTGAGCACTTTAAAGATGTCCTTATTTTTGCAAAAGAATGATGAGTTTAGTTACTGTAGAGAATAATTGTGAGTTGTGTGTGAGAAGCCCCAAGCTATGTGTCATATATTTTGATTCAGTTTTCTGTAACCTAAGGTATATTAGTGACTATGGGAAGGATTGCATGAAGCAGCTGCTTATAAATGCTCCGTGACCATTTGGCAGTGAATTTTGTATTTTGGGTGAATATATGCTTGGTGCACATCACCCATGCTTAAGTGCATGATTTTCAGTGTAGGATAAATATCCTGTCAAAATATTGCTCATTTCTGGTACTGAGGATCCTGACAAACACAAGCATGTCAGTTTTCTAAGGACACATGGTCTGTATTTACCACAAGCATCATTAGAGAAAAGAATTCTTTGCAAATATTTTGAAAAAACACCTATACATTATTTAGATGGGCCAAGTACCAAATATGTCATTTCTTCATAATCAATTCTTTAAAGTCATTAGAGAGCCTTTTGTACATATAATGATCATAAAGATATATAGGTATGTTGATTTTTCTTGTTGTTTTACAGAGACAGCAGAACAGAACATCAGAAAGTTAGAAAGGCAAATGCTTTAGGAACTATTACAAATAAAATAGTCTATGTCTTGTTTTAGTCTAAACCACTTCAAGACTGGTATTCTCTACATTATTATCTTGCATGCTTTTTATTATTTCAAAAGGTTTTTGGGGAGATTCCTCAGCAGTAAGGTGTCAAGCAGTTTTTCAGGAGGGAAATGGTTTTTAGATTTGTTTGTGCATTAGGTGAGTATTACACTGTTAAAATGCTCATAATTTAAAATACCTTTGTTGGACAGTGAGCTATTTACCTAATTGTTGTGGGGACAACATACATTCTGAAAGCAGGCCAAGTTGTAATTGTCTGAGCCATCCCTAGGTGTTATTATAATAACTACAGGAAAAGTAAGATTTCATAGGGATCCAAAGAATTTCCATCTCTTATATGGCTTTGCTTTATTTGCTTACATTGCCTTGCTTCATTTAATATTTTAACTTAGTCATGCATTTTGTGTGATTGTGGCAGATATGGAAAGATTGCACAGAAGCTAATAAATCACAGAGTTTTTGGGTTTGTTTCTTCCTCCCCTCCCCTCCCCCATATTCCCATTATTTAAGAGATGAATTGTGGTCTGTAAAATTGCAGGATGCTTCCCCTTCACAGAAAAATAGCCAGATTACAGATACTACATCTTTTTAAGTTTTTTTCCTCCTTCCCTTCTCTCTATCCTTAAGTACAACCATTGTTTCCTGTAGAGATTCCCCTGGAGCAGCCCCCAGGCCTGTCTGCCCCGTGAGGTTTCTGGGACCCAGAGGTGATGGTCTTTCTCTGTGGGGCTCAATATTGAGCCAAGAGCCAGGAAGGTATAAAAGCCAAGTGTGTGGTGCCAGCCCTGCCCCGGGGGAGAGGGAGAGGGGTGCAGACTGGGAGGCAGCAGAATAGCAGAGCTAGGCTGGGCCAGGCATTGCCTGAAGGCTGAATCTCCCTCATTTCAGCTGCTGTTGGTTCTGTTTTGGAGGTTTTAATTTTTAATCTTGTATTTCCAAATAGGAGTAGAACCGTGCTTTTGGAAAACAAAGCGAGTGAACAATGACATCTGAAAAGCATTGTCCAGATGAACAAACTTGGTTTCCAGAGCTAATTTTCCTAAGTCCTGTTTAGAGCCTGCCCCCAGAGCCCGTGTTTCAGAACTGCTGAGAATACACAATTCTTACTGATTTCAGCACTCATTGTTTGTGCTGGCCGTGTCTGAAAATAGGTTACTTTTATTTAGCAGAAGAAAGAGAGAGCTTGCCATGCAACTTTAGACACCCTCATTTAACAATTTCTGTCTTTATTTGCTCTAAAGACAAAATCAGGGCTTCCCAAATGATATATAATCAGTGATACGGTACTTTCACGAACATTTCTCCAGACAAGGCAAGTGCCTGGGGGTGTGAAGCCAGGCCATGGATGCAGCCTGGTTTGGAAGTTGTTCATGTGAACATCTTAAAGGTCAAGTCAGCAAAAAGGATCAGTTTTCACATGGCTCCTATGGAAAGGTGAAAATGGAAGGTAAAGAAGCTGATCTCATTAAACAAATCTGGTTTAATCTTGGTAAGCCAGTTGGAAGAAACATATAGGGCAGTACTGTATGGAATCAGAGCAGCAGTCCAGCTAGATGGGATCCCATCTCTGACCTGATTCTGGCCCATGCCACAAGACCTTACTGGTCTGGTACTGGATGTACTTACTTTTGAGGGACATATCCATCTGTCAGTAGTTAAATTGGGTACTGAAGGAAAAGGATTCATACCACTGCTTTTGTCAAAAGCCTCATGTAAGCTCCAGCCCATATGGATTTATAGCTTGAAGCTGTCCTGGCGTATTCTCTGGTGTTTTAGGAATGAGTGAGACACTGCTGCAGTTATTGGTTGGTGGGAACCCTCTCTGCCACATGGCCACAGGCTATCACTAAAAGTCTTGAATATCACTCTATTTGTTAAATACAGCCATTGTTGGACAAAAAGATTTACAAGTTACTGGTGAGAGGGGGGGAATGTGTGCATGTCTGTTTTGATACATGTGGACAGGTGGCTTGGACACATAAGACGTATTTCTTTAAGAAGCCAAGATAAAAACACTGTGCTTTAATGATGGATATTTGCATTATATCAGGAATTAATCTTTTTAAAGGTCCTGCTATGGTCGTAGTCTCCAACACTACCTTGTGTGAGTGAGATTCCTGGTTAATGTTTATTTTTACACAGACAGAAATTTCTGTTAGCGATTTCAGAGAGTGTTGCTTCTGAACTTCCTCACAGTCTTTTAAAATTACATGGTGTTCTCAGATTCATTATTGCTTATCCTTCCTATCTGCTGTTATCCAGTTGCTCAAATTCATTTTGTCATGCTCATTTATGTTGTTTATAAGTTCTGTCTTGTTTTGTGTCTTCTGTCAGTCGCTGGATGCTGAGTTAGGATCTCTGCTTCTCCAGGTCGCCTTAGACACTGAGTCAGCTCAGGAAAATAACCCCCAGGCACTTCCTCCAGTTAAGAAGTGTGCACACACAGACCTGGTGGGTGGACCTGTGTTCAGTCACCAATTGTCCTTCCAGAGAGTGTTCCTGATTGCCAAGATGGTCTTTCAGGAGTGAAGGTTGCCAAGTGTGGTGACTGGGGGAGGAGGGGGTGAGTGGAACCGAAGGCAGAGATGCTTCCTCCCACCCCCTCTTTCTGAGGCACACACAGGAGGGAGAGTTTGTCCCTTTAGGAGGTCCCCGGCCTTTGCTGGCTGTTGCTGGCCCAGGGTGCACAGCACATCCCGTGGCATCTCACCCTACTACTACTGTGTCTGTGCTGGGAGCTCTGTCCACCCAGCTCTGACCTTGACACTCTCTCCTCACAGTGCATTTCCTTTCTATTTTTTTCTCCCTGTGAAATATTCCATCATGTTGTCCATCCATGTTCCTGGTTCCTTTTACACCGGGTTTCCTTCTTCATAACCCCAGTATGTCCACACTCACACCTCGCTGGTGCCAGACATCCATAAGGTAGTGACAGACCAGAGGGGAAGGTGTGACTGGCATCTAGAGGCAAAGGAAAACAGATTTCAATAGTGAATTTATCCATTTTGTACATCAGCCCCTGTCTTACACCCATCATCCCACTTTACCTTATGGGGAGAACTGCGCTGGTTGCAGGAATATTGTGTGATTAAGGGCCATCTGCAACTGGAGTTCTGAGTTCCAGTTGCCAGCAGCAAATGCTTTCATCCATATGCTGATGTATTCAGGAAGTGTAAACACTTGAGTGTCCCTTTAAATATTTTCTGCTGCAGTCTGACTTTTGATATAGACACCAGCACAAGACTGGTGGGAAAGAGGAACACATTAAAAACCTCACCATCAAATCACAACACAGAGCTATGGATGTATCACCGAATGTGCTCCGTTCTGAGTGGGGCAGCTCTGCTCAAAATTTAAGAAGTCAGCGAAAGCACAGGCTGCTCCCCCCATAATGAAGAGACTCCTCTGCCAGCAAACTCCAAGAGATCCAGGCCTGCTTAGTGTCTGTGCCCTGTGAGTACAAACTGAGGGTGAGGAGAGAGCCCCGACTTTTCCCCAGAAATAGTAGCAGGCAGGGTGTATCGATATTTTAGGAGTGTATGCATATATATGCGTGTTTATTTGCTCCTGGGCTTTGCAGGAATATCATCCTGCAAAGTTCAGCTATGCAGCCACAATATAATGTTCAGCTCTGAGTGGTTGTTCTTTAGCATATTTATCCAGATTTCTCTTTTGATTAGGCAGCCTTAGGAGAATTCTGTTGTTTGTAACTTGAGGGGATGTAAACCACTATGATTCTTCAGGCATCTTAAAACATTCTGCTAGTTCACTTTTTTAAGACTTAATGATCACTTTATAACTTAGTTGGGGATTCTTTTTCCTGCTGCACAAAAAGTGACTGCTCCATGATAGTTAATATTTTTGTGAGCTTAGGAGAAAAACACCCTTAGATAATTGTATCTAGTAATTTTGGGGTTTAAAGTGAATTATACTATATGCAATTAAAATACAGAATTTCTTGTAATTTTCCTGTATTTTTATGGTAACACCTGAATTCCTTGTAATTACATTCATCTGTCTGAAAATGATGTTTCAAATTGTGCACACATAACATCTCAAGTCCTTCTCTTCCTCTGAGATTTGGACTGTCATGGAGAAGCTATGGCATTAAGTGACTCTAACTAAGGTGTGAGAAGAATAAATGTATTTGTACTTTGAGCTGCACTGTCATGTTATTAAAAGCTAAGTTTCTGCAGCCGGCAGAAAGTCAGCAATTATCTTGTATTCATTTTCAAGGTGTGACGGGGATTCAGACTCTGTGCATGAAGATCAAGCAGGCACTTCCAGTCCCAGGTATCCTACTCTGTCTGAAATCCATTGGCAGCAAAAGAAGCTGCCAGAGTGCTTCTGTTAAAGCATTAGAAACAAACATTTATTCTCAAGGGAATGCAGAATTTCTCGGGTATTACCTGCAAAGTCTATTAGTATTTCTGGGAAACGCACATTTGTCTACTGTACTTTTGTGTAATCAATATTAAGATTAATTACTGATGTTATTATATGAGTAAACATGTTATGGTCTGTATTCTTAACTTCACATTATGTTACTGTCATTGAGATGCAGCTTTGGTTGCTAATAATAATTTTACTGTACAGCAGCTGGTTCAAAGTAGTGGTAAGTGGAGTTTTGCCACTGTGCAAGGATATGCTTATTGATGAGTGTCTCTTTGAAAAAAAAAATCCCTCAAATTATAATTTATCTGAAGTATTCTTGAGGCATATCTCCCTCATGGCTGCGTTAGTGTATGTTGATTGCTAGACTGTGCGACTTAACCTTTCAGAAAGATTTTAAAGTCAGATCATACCTTAAAATTAGCAGCACTTGTGCAGGTTGTTGAGATGCCCGTGGGCTATAAAGCACCCTACGCTGTAACTATAACAACTGCCTTGGAGCACACTTGCAGAAGGCATGGGCAGCAATGGTGTTCGGCTCCACAGGCACCCTGTGAGCATCCATCTGGATGGTGATGGGCCACAGATGGAAAGCGAGTTTGGCAGCTCAAAATCCTCAGGAGAAAACATTGAACTAGAAAGTTATGCTTTCTAAAAAAAAAAAAAAAGAAAAAAGAAAAAGTCTCAGAGGTATTTAATTCAATAGTCCTTGACTCCCTCACTTGGGAAAGTTTCACACCAGGAGAGAGATCACCTCTTAGCTAAACCGTTAGGATTTTACCAGCTGAAGCTAACATCTGAAATTCCCCCTGCAAACTAAGCCACAGCCAGGGATTTTGGAGCAGTAATGCCGACCTGCTCATCCTGCCAGCTGATCAGGCAGCCCAGCATCCTGCACTGCGGAAACTTTCCTAATGGAGCCAGGGAGATGCCACCAGGGGAAGGCTGGAGTGACTGGGCGTGGATAGGACTTGCAAGGTCTTCTTGGGACAGCTTGCACCTTGTAGGCTGGGTGGAGACTGAAAATGTCTGTCCCAGACTCGGTGGTTACCTGAGGACTCGTAAGTAACAGTGTCTGCTTAAACCACCAGGTGTGCTGCTATGCAGGAGGACATTTTTGCCAAACTGGGAGCACATGGCACTTGTCCCTTCCACCCAAACACACCTCTGGCTGTTCGGACCCTACCCTCACTTTGTTCAAAAGCCCTCAAAACCAGAGCCTGTCAGAAAGGAAGTGAGACTGTAGAGAGGAACTGTTGTATACAATGACTTTTTTTGTGAGATTATAACTTATGGTGAATCATTGAGTGGGGAAAGGTCTTCTGCATTAAAAGGACAGCTTCAGGTTTTATTTGGAGAATGTGAACTACAGGGCTAAAGCCAAATAGTGCCTCTGAAACTAATCTTATTTAAATAGCTCTGCAGTTGAATGTGTAATAATGCCAACAGTAGTTTCGACTCACATTACTGACATATGCAATGTTTGATGTGTAGACCACTCAAACTGGTAAAAGCAAAAGCAATATGCCGTGAATAGCTAAGAACTTGTTGCTCTTTTTCCTCCATAATGTTTTGACAGCTGTCTGAAATCCTGCCTGATGCATTTCAATTTTACTTTCTTACAGAGATGATGATAACAAAGAAAATTATCCGGACAACGGTGCTGTCTTAGAGGAAAGGCAGCTGCCTTTGCAAGAGGCTCAGCAGCACAGACAACAGGCTGTGATCGACTGTGCTCTAAAGCCTGAAATGGGCAACCTAAAGCTGAGGAAACCCAAGCCCATTGCAAAGCTAGAAAATGGAAAAAGCCATGAGGAAAATCAGGTAAAGAACTAACCTTGCCAGGAGTAGGTTCGTGGCACGGTGTCTGAGCAAACACAACTTCTGAAATGCAAAGTGGGACCCCCTGGTAATTCATGATGTGATTGAGACCCCACAATAATCTACCATGATTTTTGGGGACCTGTGGTCCTGGAACTGTCCTGTAACCACAGGCAATTTCTTTCAGCCAGGGAATTGCAGAGAGGGCTGTGTTGCAACTGCTGGCCCATGTGAGCACAGAGCATGGCTGAAGATATCTCTCTTTAGATTTTCTGTGTTTCCTTGCACCAAATATAAAAAAAACTTGTTAGTTGCAGCATTTGATTAGACATTTTCTGTTTTGTTTGTTTGATTGAGGATCTCTTGTGCTGGTATTTTGACTGCCAATAGAGAGTTTTAATACTTTCCCTTTATATTGATTTCTGTTTTTCTCATCTTTAAATGACAAGTCTATTCCAACACAGATTCTGGTAGCAGAGCTCTTGCTCACAAGCTTCCCAGGTTGAGTTGAGGAGAGCAGAACTATAACTTTTCTAAAGGGTATAAAAGAAGACTAGAAATGGAGAAACTTCTGCTGCTGTCTGTGGAGGTACATTTGCTATGTCAGCTCTGGAGTTACCACCTCTCAGCAGCTGCTGATAATGCCTCTGTTCTTCCCTGGTGTTTCCCAAGTCATGTCTGATGTGCAGTGTAAGGGATAGAGCTCTGGTGCAGATTTAACTCCTCAGCTAGAAATATTCTCATATCCAAGAGAGTTAATATTAATGTTGGGAGATTTGCTGGTCTGCAGTCGGCACAAAGCCTGATATCTGTAAATACAGATGTCTGTATTTACATATCTTCTTTGATGTATAATGTATTTGGCTACATTTTGTCTCTCCTCCCTTCTTGTCTGTGGATAGAAATTTGCAGAGCACTTTCTGCAGTGCTTCAAACCCATCACAGAGTAGGAATTATTTTGGACCTTTTTTTTTCAAGTTTATAATGGGATTTCATCATTTTGGACAGAATTTCTTACCTTCTAAGTGAGAACTTAGAAGAATACTTTTGAATCCCAGAAGGAAAATGAAAAGCAAATGGCATCCCAATGGTATTATCACAGTCTCCTACAGAAGGAATATCAAACTCTTGCCCTAATCTTCCTGCATGTTCTTCTGGAGCTCATCCCAGAGATAAGCAATAACTGGCTTTTTTTTTTGCAACTGTATTGCATTACTAGGAAATATTCTTTAGACTGCAGGAAGATGAGGTGTAAATGTTTATCAACTGAGAAGAAAAATGGTGGGAATTTTGACCTATGAAGAGCAAGCAGAGGCATATCAGGAATAGGAATCATGAAGAAGTCGCAGACAGGGCAAGATCTGCCTCATAGATCATCTGTTTTTCTTTCAGCTACTTCCAAGCCCCTTGTCTGCCTTCTCCCTGGGTGTGTCCTGCCTGTATCTCTCACCCAGTGAAAGCCAACACAGCACAGATTTACTGCTCTGTAGTGTTTTACATGGTCTGAAGTGGTTATCTGAAAATGTTGATATTCTTTCCTGGGAAACTTTATGGGTATTTAATTAGAATGCCATAAAATGCCAGTGCAACTTAAGTACGCAGCCTCTGGAAGGAAAAACAGTGTCAGGCAGATAATTTTCACATCACTCAAGGGCTTGAATTAGGAAAGACAAAAGTGGTCCTGGGCCTCCATGCTACCTCTTGGCATAATGGAAGATGTAAGATGAGTAGGCACCATTTTAGCTCTGATTTATGGGAGCACTTGAGGATGAGAGTAGTGTAGAGCTTTGAGAGTAATTGGCAACATAAACACAAAGCAAACATCCCTCCATAACAGTAACTCCACTCATTCATAGTGGGAAAGGTATCCCAGTAACAAGGGAGACTTTCTGATGGATATCCTATATCCAAACTGAGTTCAGTGGTGTGTGCTGTTATGGACAGAGTTTGCCCCTGGGAATGGTTTGCAGAAGGAAGCTGTTTTGGAGAAAACATCTACCAAGCCTTTATTCTCATTAGTAAGGATGCACATGCTCCCTGACCCTGAGCGCTCACTCGCTGCATCTTCAGCTGCCTCGGGGGCTTTTGTTCTTAAGGAAGGAAGCATCTGGCATTGTTCATCAACAGTGCCCAAGAAAAACAAGATTCTTCTTGCAGAAGAGCCCCAAGAAGGGGATTTTTTTGTGTGTGGGTGAGCTCTCACTGGGATCCTTGGTGTGTTGTGACCTCCCAAACCCTGTCGCAGCTCCCTGTGTTAACAGCCCTAGATGAGAACGGGCAGCAATTCTCCATTGCAAAGTGCTACTGTGTTGTTTCTAGTGGCTGTTGTTCGTGTGTATACAGCAGGTTTTTATTATTAGAGGCAGGCCTGGTGATGCTTTCAAACACTGTGCACATTATATACCTTCCTTTGGTGACACACCTTGCACCAAGCCACTCCATAAATCCTTACAAGGAGCTGATGTCAAGCTGAAAACCAGCACTTTCTGAGTACGTGCATTTATGAAAGAAAAGCATGATGCACTGCACAACATGATGGAACAGTTCATCCTCATTTTCCTGAGTTTATTGATAGAGTGCTTTTCCAACAGTCTCCTCACTTCCCCAACCTGACTTGTCTGTGACATGAGAAACAATGACAATATTGCAGTGACCACTATTTCTTTTAAAGGTGTTGCTCTGATAACCCAAGGAACTGTTTGCTGTTTGCTCCTGTGTGTTATAATCCCATGAGATGCTTTTTTAGAGAACCGTGCCTTTAAAATTAGAATATTCTGTTTCTGATGGAGTAGAATTAATTCCCTCAAAACTAAAAACAGAATCATAAAATCAGCCGGGTTGGAAAGGACCTCTGAGATCATCAAGTCCCTTTTTTTTTGGAAATCCAGTCCGGGTTTTCCCCAATTCCGTACTCTGGCGATTTAAAAAAGCAAACAAACAAACAAAAAAACCCTGTACTAGGCTCCTCTGAAGTAACTAGTTTGTTTGTAGGATTGTATATATCTGTTAAGAGTACCGGAGTACCAGAGAAAAGAGCAGTATGAGATGACTCCACTGGACCACTTGACAGATGATACAATGCCACTGGAGTAAAACTGTGCTTTGCATATTGCGTGCAGTTATTTCTCTGGGGGCAGCAGCTGGGTGTGGAGGCAGCTCTAACCTTTCCAAACAAAATATGGGGAGAGAGGCAGGCTGCTGGAATGTGATCACACTGCTGCACTCCAGCTATTTGGCTTTTTCTTTCCTGTGATTTCATGAGTTTCTTTAGCAATTCTGCAACATTAATCTATAGAAAATGAAATTAATTAGGATTTATTTGACTTCAAGAGGTGAAGAAGCATATGCCCAGAACATACTCCAGGGAGTCAGTGTGAGAACAGATGGTGAGGAATAGAAAGTCTGCTTTCCTTGCCCAGTCCTTTCTCCTGTCACCCACCTTTGACGCACAATCATGAATACAGATTATTAAATGAGTCATCCTCAAATTCCTTATTGTTACTGGGACATAATTATAAAAGGACACTAGACATGCTAGCAGATAGGTAGAGACAGTCAAAGTTCAGTTTTAAAGTCTTGCTATCAAGGTAAATGATCATAAAAAAAGAAATGGTGGCTTGACAATCAATGCCTAGAGCTGGAAATGCTTAAGATTGTTGAGTGAAATTTTCTATTTTGAGTATAAATTAAGGGGCAAATTGCCTGGATGTCAAAGAGCTTCCAATAATTTGACAACAAAATTGTGATTTTAAGTGCACAGGAATACAAAAACCAGAGCTGATGTTGAGACATCAGCTACACAAGCACACAAATGTGTCAGGCAGTCTGCAAGTTCTGCCTCAGTTCCCAGGTGTACTCTGTTTATGTTTGAACCATAGCTCCCATCACAGATTAAATCTCTTCAATTCACTGTCCATTAAATGTCTATTTTCTTGGATGGACTGGCATTTTCAGGAGGTGTAGGAAGCACTTCTGCTCAGGATTCATTTCTGGCTTATTTTCTGTTTTGACCATGAGGTATTCAGGGCTGTGCTCCCAAGTGCTGCTACAATATTTGCATGGTGCTTCCATTGCAGAGAGATGGAAGTGTTTGTGTGTTGGATAAAGGCTGTGAAGGATGCAAGGCACTTTCTGGAGTTCAAAGACAGATTAAACTGCTCTATAATCACAGCAAAGTATGCATGTACTGTAATTCAGGTGCTCTGAGAGAGACGGGTTATAACGTGCTGTGATTTTTGAGGGGGAATTAGATTTTTAAAAAAATTTAACTTGTGAAACAAAAGTTTATTTATCTCAACCTGTGTTTATCCACGATGCTAATTTTTGGCTGCTTCCAAACCACACAGTGTTTTGTGTACAAAACATGGTAGTGATTGTGCAGCACTGAGACTTCTCAGCAATGCCTGGAGATTTCCTTCTTCACAGACTGCTTAGCAGATGCAACTTCATTGTAGAAGCCTCACCCTCTTTAGTGAAAAAGAAACAATAATAAAATAAAAGACAATACTCTACTGTTGGAGGCCTTTGACACATCAGGAATGGATCTCACTGCTCTTTAGAAATGGAGGTTCCACCAAGGGTGTTTCCCTAGGGTTACTCGTTAACACCCTAATGACACAACTTAATGAGCAGTAACAAAGACATTAAAAAAAAAAAAAAAAAAAAAAAAAGAAATTAACAACTCCAAACCACCCAAGTCCTCAAACATCAAGCCTGCAAGGGTTTATTGCCAGGACTGTTGTCCTCAGCTTTTCCTTTCATCTTGAGTTGCCATCTGAACATTCCTACCCCAACTTTTGACTTCTAGGAATCCAACTAAGCTTTGGCAAAATCAGACACATGGTTTTACCAGAGAAGTGAACACTGTTGTTTTGCAAAGCACACTGTATTTTAATTTGATAAACTATTAGACTAAAATATTGGATTACAAAAGCTAATACAGAAGGGGGGAAAAAAGTCCCACTTTAATTATCACATTTTCAAAGAACTTCATTACCTGACCCCATTGCAATGCAAGGGAAATATTGCAGACCATTTTATAGGTAGGAAAATTTACATGTGCTGAACACATCTTTTCACAGCCCTACAGCTGGTTTTTGAAAGCTTGGAGTAATATGTGTACCTGTCTCATTCCTCTTCCCTTACTCAGTTTGTTGGTCTAAATTGGCTCTTGTATTTTCTGCATGGCAGGTTGGGTCATGTGACTTTTTTTCCTCTCAATGCCTTTCCCTCCTTCTCTATTCATAAAGCTACACATATTCCAGGGAAGGAAAAGAGGAAAGTGGTTAAACCTTGCAAATCTTATTGAAGTGAACTGCATTTGCCTTTTTCAGCCAGAATTTTTCTGATGATAGCCAAGTAGTAAAATTACTGATATATGAGTAAATAAATTCAAATGAGCTCTGTGTATAGCACCTCTTAGCTCAGAAGCTGGAATCTGTTATCTAACTAACAAATAGAAAATGGGTTACAGTCTGCTTTGGTTTCAAAAACTCTTTTCCAGTGAAAGAACATACTACTTTGTTTAGAACATTTCCTAGTGTGTGTTTTCCACATGTTTCCAGACTACTACCAAAAAAAACCCAACAAAGATCCACAATCAGTATCCAGCCTCATGGAGCAATTTTTCTCTTAAAGCAAAACGTTCAGCTAAGCCTAATCGATGCTGACAGGGCACATTCAATTTTCTTTTTAAATTTTTTTTTTATTTTGTGTGCTTTTTGCAGGAGCTGGAATGTGCATTGCCAGGCCTCCCGGAGTGGCAGGGCAAGGCTGGATCCTCAGCTAATGACTGTACACAGAACGTGGCTCTGAGATGCCAGGAAACCGTCGTGAGACTTCAGCCAAGGTAAGCCTTGGGATCAGACAGCACATTTCACTTCTGATAAACTGTAGGAAAGGCTAATTCATGTGCTGCCTTTTGTATAAAATATTCAGACTCCTGGCTGTCACTGGCAGTTGTAGTCTATATTTATATGGCTAGGGCTTTTTGGAGAAAGTGAAAGGGATAAAGATAAGGATGCAAATTTCATCATTCTTTAAACCCCTTTGCATTTCAAATGGGAAGAACATCCTCAGTTCAGAAACTTCAGTTCCTCTGTGCCAAGTTTCAAAAACATCTTGCCACTGCTTTTCTTACACACCTCCCCCCCTCCCCCCCAGTGCTGAATTACCTCACTCTTTCTCAGAGCTGTATTCTAATTGTGAAATGGGAACCTGCACATCCAATTTTACCATGGGTATGCATTTATGTGTAGTTTAGACTCTGGGTGCTGTGGCAACTGTGCTTGTTCCCGTGCTGGGAAGGGTACAACGTGTTCAGGTCAGGCATTAAAAAGTCTTGGTGGCAGGTAACTCGGCTGATGGCTGAGCAGCTCAGCTCTGATAACTATTGGAAGTCACAGTTTCTACCCTGATCCTTCATGGTTAAACAAAAGGCTAAAAATGGGGTTTCAAGTCACCCAGCTGACCAGTGAAGGTGTGTCCTAAGGATAAGATTTAGTTCTTACTAAATTTGAGGGCACTGCTTTACAATTTTTGCATGCTGAGGTGCTGGTTTGGCCCTGCTTTTCTGTGCACAGAGTTTTTGGCCCGCGAGGCAGGTCCCTGCTCCTTGCCTCGAGGTGCACGACAGCCTCGGTGCTCTGTGGAGGGACTGAAGCAGCAGCAGTACATCCCAGGGATGCTCAGGGCACAGCTATTTGACATCCAGAGCACCTAGATGTTTGCTCCAAGGTTTGTTTCCAATTGGGATTAGGTTGGTAGTGACAGTGGCCATCCAAAGGCAATTTGGTGCTTTATGTGAAACCAACTGGTTGGTTCCACCACAGCTTTTGGTTGGCAACATTATAAATGATATTAATTCTTGCTCTCAAAGGAAGGTTTAGCAGAATGACCAAGCATATAATTAATCTTGGACAAAGACAATTGCACTCCAGTGGTTGTCTGTGCAATTGAGACACTGCATCTCAGAGAGAGTTTCTAATTAGGATGCCTGTCTTCTCTTTTTCTGGCATTCCTTATGCTAGGAAAGAATTGTATGGTTGTCTTGTAATGAGGAGCTTGGTGACTTTGGTATCATAGAGTTAGACCTACCTAGTGCCTCTGCTGGTGGGATGCCCGTGTATGGGTAGATAACAAAGTAACTGGTAATTTTGAAAGGAATGTGATGCAAGGAAAATAGATAAGAACCAGACTAGAGTGTGCATGAAACAACAGTAACCACAGCAAAATTCCCCTATCCTCTTCAACCGTTTGGCATTTTGAGCTTGCTTTCTATTAAACCATTGTTCGCTATGCTGTTTATTCCTGCTTAACACCAGGGTAGCTCCTTAGAAAACCTGCTATCCACAAGGGCTAAATCTCTTAAATAGTGGTACCTGGATTTACCATCCTAAGAGCTGTGAAAGCACAGTGATCAAATCTCAACCCTGTCCATGTTTTAGTTTGATTATACTACAAAAACCAGACCAAACAAACAAAAAAAAGGTAGGTGACTTTACTCTCAAATAAGGAACTTTAAACATGGAGCAAACAAGCATTAACACATGATCCTGGCATCACACACACACTATGTTTACTTTAACTGCCTTGACTGTCCTTGGAAAAGACACTCCCACCACCCAGCTGGGGCAGGGGGGCTTTGAATTACATACGCTGGAGTTACCGCTTTCAGTTTGGGGGTCACTGTGTTAGTGACTCCCCTGAAGGGCCACCACCAGCTTGCCCCATCCCTCTGCTGGCAGGCAGCTTTGGCAGGGCCCCAGCAGTGAAACGCCCCTGTCTCGGCTCACACAGGTCCCTGGCTGCTGCACCGGGATCACAGCACCGACTCGTGCAACAGGCTGGGAACTGCTGCCAGGGAATGACGTCTTGCCTTGCCTTCTGCCTTCTCTGCTGTGGCCATGGTGAAGGTTAAGTGTTCAGGTTTGGCAGCTGCCAGCAATCGTAGCTGGATTTGGACAGAGCACATCTGCAACCCCCACTAAATTTGAATTTCACTCTCTTCCACTGTTTTTGCCGGGTTACTGGTAAAATTACCCATGCTCTGGGACACTTTATCTGCCTGACTCAGACTGAAAGCTCTCTGGTGTTTCGCAGGAGATGGGCACACTGCTGCAGAGGTGACCTTGCGCAGGCTCTCTTGGTGTATCAGATGTGTGTGTGGAGGATACGAAAAGGATTTATTTCTGCCTCATAGGAAGAAGCAAGGTTGATTGTTTCCAGTGCAGCTTGTTGTTACTTGTGCTTTAACTTAGCTTCTGCAGACTGATATAGCTCTGTCATTAGTCTCATTGGACTTTAAAGGTCTAAACACCTCTGAACTGTATGGAGCTTTTTAAGAAATCTGTTCTGGTGAGTGTGGGGCAGCTAAAAACAGGGTAGTTTTAATTTGTCTAAATATGGATTAAAAACAACTGAGATATGAAAAACTTTTCAGTCCAGTCCCCATTAAGCAAGGAAATTTAAATTCAGGGTAATCTATCAAGGGGTGCTCATAAACAGATATGTGACAAAGAAGAACAGAACAGGCAATGTAAGAGCAGCAATCCACAAAAATACGACTTACAAGCGTATATGTGTGGATCGTTTCTTTGAGGGAGTACTTTCATTTTATGAAAACCACCAAAACAGTAAAGGAAAGGTTTTGAGGGATTTGAGGGAAATGGAAGAATACACTTGGTGAAGAGGATTGCAGTGAGAAGAATGGGGAATACTGTCTTGTTCTTGGCTAAGCTGTACTTGGCCTATGAATCAAGGATTTCAAATTCAGGAGGTGTTTATCGTGCATGATTCATGAACATCAGGATCAATTTATTATATGGAATGCCATCTGCATAGAAGGAAACCTTTACATTTTATCCCCAGAACATGAATTTCTAATACTATTTTTAGTGATTACAGTGAATGCTGCTCCGGTCATTGTGTTGTAGCTGCGTTTGGATAAGAAAGTAATATAATTTGCACCTTTGACGGACAGAAGTTATATTGCAGGTCCTGGGAACAAATAAAGAGAATTGCCTTTTCTTAGCAGAGACTAGGAAAGCCAGTATGGAACAATATATATGATTACAAAAAGCTGCTCCTGCCAATTGCCTTCTCAAAGGCAATCAGCAAAACTGGTGTGGATTGCAAGCTGTGTGCAGTTACCTGAACAGAGGGTGGTGTTTCCTTCAGCTGCCTGTTACAAGGCACTCTCAGGCAGTGGGAAGGTCAGTGCTTCAGAGAAGGCTGCATCCCATCTCAGCGTGGGAACTACACTCTGGGGTTTAGTTTTCTGCCAAAGGAAAAAATCCCTGAAAGTTCCCCATCTTTCCCATTCCCCAAATAAAATGGGAATGGAGTGGTTTCATTTAACAGGACTCAGCTGGTCCCCGGGTTGGTTCCTAATTTCTGCAGAGGCTGTAGGGTGGCAGTTGTCAGACCTATGACTATTCTCCAGGAAAACTGGAACTGCCATTAGCCCTGGGCTGTCCTGGTTCAGCCAGTCTCCCAGGGTTTCTCTGATCCCCCAAGGGAGGTCAAGCTCTAGCAAGGCTTTTGGTATCTAAGTTTTCAAGGCAAGTAACTTTTGAGAGAGCAGTTCAGGCTGGAACTCCTTTGGTTTCCAGGCTTTCTCCTGAACAGCTACAACTCAGGGATGAGTGGGAGGGAGCAGGGAGGCTGCAGAAGTGCTGATGTCCCTGTGCCATATGGCAGACCTGCATGGGTGAGGCAGAGCTTGTGAGGCTACATCCCCTCATCTGTACAGGCAGCCAAGTGAGCAGGGAGAAAGCTGGGAAATAACTGACCAGCTCCTAAAAACAGGTCCTTCAGAAATCTTGATATTAAAATACTGGTGTTTATGGTTTTGGTGAGACTTCTTGCAGCCAGGCATGGAAAATTCTCTGAGCGAGCTTTTGGGCTGCAGTACAACTAAAGAAAAAAAAAAAAAAAAAAGAAAAGAAAAAGTGGGTAGAGGGAGAGGATAGAGGAGCAAGAAAAGAATAGAAAAGAATAGCATCTCACTGTAGCTCAAGTAAGAACTGCTCCTGGTGAGTATGAGAGGCTTTCATAGTAAGAAAAACAAGGGCTGGCTGCGTTACATAAGGGCTGTGATTGATGAGACAGGCAGTGCTACGCTGGCTCTCTGTCTGAGTGCTTATTCCATCATTCAGGGATTGCCCAGGGAGTAGCCTTGGGCCATTGATGGCATTTTTTTCTCTCATTTTCTCTCTTCATGTTCACCCCAAAGCCTGCTGCAGTTCTGCACTGCTTTTTAAGGAGTCAAAGGCATGCTTTTGAAGCACCCACCTGCAGCCCTGTGTGAAGGTGTTTGGATTTCAGAATGCTTTTTGCCATTTGTGGAGGTCTCAGAAAGGACCTTTTTTGTTTTCCTGGTGCTGAGATGTGCTGGCTGTGGGTTCTGCCTTTCTGTGAACTCGTGTGATGTGACCTGTGGATGGGCTGGATCAGTCCTGAGACACTGTTACCCTTGGGGGACACCCTAAGGGTGGGAAGGGTAGAACTGATTCCTAGACTGGAGACAGGGAAGGAGTGCTGGGCCAGGACAGACTGACAGTGAAACTGGAGAAGGAGTTTCATCCCGCAGGATACTGCGTGGTTGTCCTGGCATCACCAGCGCCAAGACACCGAGCACGTGTGGCATTGTGGTGCATCAACACATAACTCAGCTGGGCATGGGGCTACTGTGATCCAGAGCTGGACTGGGGTAAATTTCAATTTACAGAATACAATGCTCCTTTCTGGGTTCCATCAGGGAACTGTGAGGTGAATTTGCTTAGGTTATCTTCAAACGTTTTGCCTAGCTTTTAAAATAATGTGGTTTTATTTGAATTTTATGCAAGTTTAGAAGTGATGTCATGCATAATTCAGAAATTCACATGTTCTGGTCTGTTTTTCAAACAGCACACTGCTCATGCAAATTGATCTTCCCCTTGAAGTCTGGTAGGAGCTCTGTTATGATAATTAGTATTTAGACTTTTTTTGTGTGTGTGTTAAGTCCACAAGCTTCAAACGTACATATTACTTATTGCATCTTTGCCATCTCTGTCATGGAGAACAGGATAATTCTGCCAAAGCCAGAGTCTATAAGGGAGGGTGAAAGACCAGGCCTTTTATGTTTTGTAAAGGACCATATAACATATATATGAGTAGGAGACACAGAGACAATTCCATTTTCATTATTTTACATGATGTAAATTATACAAAATAAGGGTGCCTGCAATTATTCAAAATTTTAGCTAAGGCCTGAAATAATTTTAATGTACTCAGCACAGATGGAAAATTAGGGCTTGTTCCTGCTGCTTTTGAAGTTAATGGATATTTTGTGATTGACTTTTAATGAGAGTAAGATCCAACCCATAGTCATTAAATTGTAAGCCCTGTGTTGCCTGGTGACAATCAGAAAACTTGCATTTGCCTGGCAGAGCAATTAGTCTTTGTGAAAAGGAAAAAGCACACCCCAAAAATCTCTGGAGAGAGTAAGATCAGCTCAGCACACGCTGTTCATGTAAATGCTCTTCACACAAAAATGGTCACTCACCCTAACAATTTCAGTATCTCCAGAATCAAAAGAACACACAACTAAAAGAATCATGCTCCAGTATTTTTAGTGAAAAAGAAACAGTAAAATGCATGACTAAATGCACTTCCAAAACAGCAGACAGGAGCATCAACCTGGATGAGAGACAGGTGGTACTTCATGGCTGCTGTAAACCTTTTAATCTCCAGAGTGCAAGACTCATGAGTGATACAGCTGTGAATTATGTAGAACTTCATATAGTGCCTGCATGAACTGCTTGCTGGAATTTAGGTTTGGTTTGGGTTTTTTGTTTTGTTTTTAGTTTATTTTGTTTTTCCTTTTTTAAGGAGATTTCACATTTGCTGCGTTATGCACCTTGAAAAGAACCATCCACATGAATACCAGAAGTGTTCAAATCTGACACGGGTCCTTTTCATCCTTTCCTTTATGTCTAGCTCTAGTTCAACGCAATAAATCACTCTAAACATTTTTTTCTCCATTAGTGAATCAGCTCTTCAGCTGTTTGTAACCTTGCAGCTCCTTCCTTACATGTTATTAAAGCAAACCACAAATACTTCACTCTTTCTCATTAAATTAGTCCTTTTGCTGTTCCCAGTTTTCTTCATGTTTTCTTTAACTCCCTTCTGCTGTCTCACACCGTCCTCCCCGCTGGCTAAGAGCAGGGGTTTGGTTGTTAGGCATTCACCTTTTTGCATCTGTGGTTTCGTTTTCCTTCTGTTCTCCTCACATTATGGAGACATTTGCTATTCATTTTCAGGAAAGATGGCAGGAAAAGAGTATGTGTGTGGAGAGCTGTGTAGGGTTGTAGATAGGTGCTTGTTCAGCAGTCAGCCAAGGCACCCTGCTGCTCTCAAGTGTTGTCAGAAATCACTCACATCTGATCCTGTACCTCTGTACCTGAGGGAGGTGCAGGCTGGCTGGGCTGTGAGGCCTCCCATTCTAGTGCTACTTGAACCCTCCCCAAAATGACTCGTTTTTGTTACTATGTGAATTGCCCACCTGTTTGGAAGCAAGTGATTGTTCACCTTGGTGTAGGTACGTAGTGTGTCTGTTTTGATAAGGAAAGTGGCATATCTGTCATTTCAGTCTTTAAATGTCTCATAAATCCACAAGGAACTGCAACAAACATCTGTGAATCTGTCTGTACTGGTTGTGAGGTCTCTAGAGATCTTTACAACTATTTGCTTTTGCTGGGATGACTCTGAGCACGGAAAATTATGAACTGTTTTGCCCAAAGGAATCTGGGTTTTGCGTCTTATTAGCCTCAGTCAGAGGGAAGAGATTTCCTCCTTGCCAGTCCAGGGCCTTCCTTTCCTATTTCCATGTGGAGAAGCAGCAATACACTGAAAGAAAACCAAAGGTATGGACATCTCTGATGGCTGCAAAGTGGCACACACGAAAATGTGGACGTCTCTCTCACAGGATTTCCAGGCACTGGGGTCTTTGTGAAATGTTAAAAACAGAGGTTAAGAAGAAAATTGAAGATGGGAAGAATGAAATGCCAGCAAATTTAAATATGGGAAGATTTAGTCTTTATGTCTCTGATACAGGAAAGCTTTTTTTCCCTGATTTAAAGCACGTGGGACAAATTGTGCCTGGATCTAAGCATATGTTTGAGATTTTTCTTGGCTTTAACCCTGTTAGCTCACCGGGACACTGAACTGATCATGCTTCTGTAGAACTTTTTCTGCCTGACAAAATAAACCCGCATTGTAATGTCCAAGGTTTGCAGGACTTCATTCACAATTTCAATATATTAGTTAGGATTCCAGTAAAATCACAGCTATTTTGAATGAGGTACAAAATATAGATGTAACTTCCACAGAAAAGTTTTTGTTTGTTTGTTTTAATAACATAACTTATTTTGGGACTTGTAACTTATGTACAGACAGGATTAAAAGTTTGAAATACTTGCAGCACAGATAAGCTATCTATTGAGTGAAAATTCATATTTTGTTTTGTAGAGTAGATCAGAAGACAAGCACTTCACCAAAGGAAGCAACCGATCAATGTAGCAGCTTAAATGAGGTAAGTTTAACCACAGGTTGAAATATGATGTTATAAATTTTGAATAGATGTTTGGGTTTTGTTAATTTTAAGGTCTTGGAATAATGTAATCTCTTGAGAATCTTCGGCTGGCTTTTTAGTGAATCTTTCTAGTCATGTTATTGGAGAAAAGTTTAAAAACATGAGACTGCGATAATAGTTTAAAAACCAGAAGCTAGAGATTTTAAAAAAACCATTTTAAACCAACTTCTTGCTGCTTTCTGTTTGCTCAGGAAAGAACCAAATGCTCAGTATTGACTGGGTGAAATGCCATCTTTCAGGAACATTTGATTTTTTTCCTCATATTAAAGCTCAAAATTGTTCACTTATTAAATATGTCTTGTTTTAAAATAAGGAGTTCTCAGTGTTGCTAAAACCTGCATAAATAAACTATGAACAGTACAATGCAGGGAAAAAGGTGCTCTGGTTGTTAGATGGGAGGAGGGGAGAGGTGAAGAGGGGAAGCCAGGAAAGGCACGTAACACCTGTGACACTCGAAACAAGCTGTTTTCTCGGGGATTGTGCCAGGAGCACAGTGTGAGTGGAGCACAAAAAAGCTGTCTGTGTGATCATATCAAACAGTGGATGAGTCTGGATGAGGTCCTAACAATCAGCAAGATACTGGGTGGGGTGGGGGGTGTAAAACCAAGCTTTGTGGTTATACAAAGTGTGAAACCTTGCAAAGCATCTCCCACAGCCTCGGGCACCTGCACAGGAGCACAGATACACTCACACACTGCAAGGGCAGCGGATGGTACTGGACCCAACAAGGAGCAGACAACATTTTTAGTGCAAACCAAGACAGCAGAACAACAGAAGCAGTGGGGAAAGGGGGTAGGAGTGAAGAGAAGTCCATTCCTGTTAAATCGTGGAAAAGACAGCTTTGTTTTCATAACGAGCCAGGGAACATCTCTGGGTATTAATAGACTCCTGACTTTCATTAGGGGAAAACCACAGCGTGCCCTTTTAAAGGAATTCAGGCTTAATCTTGTCCCTGCAATGAATTATTTCCTTTGCATTTGTATCATTGTTGTGCAGCTCAGTGTTGAAAATCTCAGTGCTAACAAGGAAGGCTCTCTCAGTGACCAAGCTAAGGGAGTACACTCAGCCTCTGTTGAGCCACTTAAGGGCCTGGGGGAAATTGTGAAGTCATTGTTTCTTTTGAGAAACCCCACTGCAAATACTCCCTAAAGCTTCCACTTGAAAGCTTCCATTTTAAATCCTTGCAAAGGATTACTTTAAGGTTAGATGATTAGATAATTAAAATAAAGAGAAGACATTAAAACAAATCATTAATAATCAATGAGGAATGAGCAGGGGTTACAACCTGGTGTTTTCTTTTGCAGAATCTTAGATTTTTTTTTTTTGTCTCAGATCTCCTGCAAACCCAAATGGACATGTGTCATAAGAAAATAAATTCCCTTCTAGGATTAGAGAAAATGGTGTCTCTCTTCACTGCTCACCCGTGGCATTACGCAGACCCAGGGCATATCTTGTTCTATCTTATTGTTGCTTGTTCATTCCTCATAAAGGAAGTTCTGAATTGAAAATGTCATATGCCTCAAGACACAAATATTGCCATAACAGATACTGCAGAGGTTTATTTATGTTCACATAAAATATGCCTATCTTATTTTAACCTGAACTCTCAGGATTAAAAAGCTGTTCCAGTGTGACATATAAAAGCATTAATTTCCTTAGAGTGAAGAAACTGAACAGGTTGAAATTTGCTCAGTTTCTTTTCTATATGAATCTCTTCAAAGGCCATTAAATGCTGAAAGCTTGGATTATTCTCCTTCTCTGCCCCAGCTGATTTCATAAATCCAGTAAATCCATCTATAAACTGGATATAGTAGAATAGTTACCTTCCTGTCCTGGAGGGGCAGGACCAGGCTCCAGAGCAGGGTGCAGGCATCCTTTATGTTCAGGAACACCGTGTGTGGGTCAGAGTGATACCAGTTTATGCAGAAGGAACCAATTCTGGGCTTTGCTTCTCATCCCTTCTGTCAGGCTCCTGTTCACGGCTGGGGCAGTCCTGTTCCCTTTCCCCTTTTCCCTCAGTTCTTAAATTTACTAGACCTTAGGAGGTCCACAAGGATGAAACAAAGGATGCTCATAAAAGTAACGCTTTAACAGGGACAGAAGTTATTTCTAAGGCCAGGAATGGCCTCCTGGTCCCACAGTGCTGATCCTGCTGGGCCCCAGCTGGAGAGGGGGTTACTGGTGGCACCCACCAAGGCAAAGTTTTTAGGCTGTTTCAGGGCACTGCCACTCATTGCCACATCATTTTGTTGATGCACTGGGAGAATTTGTTCCCTCAGTGGCCCGTTCTCCAGAGGGATTTGACAGTGGGTGGTACTTATCTCTAGATGTAAGGGATTATCTGCCATCTCAGTAATTCCTTGCCCTAAGGCCTCCACTCCGTGTTTTTGATAATAATTGATTGGAAGGAGAGATGGTCAGTGGGGTACAGGCTACAAGCTTATTTGTTTGTGGAGATGGTGTCTTTCCTACAGACTGTGCTTCCTGTGCAAATGGCAGTCCTTTTGTACTGTGCCTTCTCCAGCACGCAAGGGTATGATATTTTAATGACTGTGGTTTCTTAAAGCATTATAAAAAATACCAAACAGGTGAATAGCACTACACTGTCTCTCTTCCTGTTTTCCTCTAGCTTCCTGTGAATGTCTTTACTTTTCCATTATTTGGAATAATGAACCTTGTTTTTTTCTTCAGTGGAATTGGCAAAGCTCAAGATCTTTGAACTGTCAGTTGCTTTAAGAGAATATAAGAAGACATATGAAACCTTTGTCCAAGACAATTACAGTAGCTTCTTTTTCAAGACTTTCAGGATACTCTTCTTGAGAGGCAACAATATGGTTATTTTTCCAAAGAAATTTAAGGATCCATTTCAAATACTAATATCCTTTTATTTTATTTGTATTGTCATGGATCAGGAATTACTGCATCAGAAACACTGGTGCTGGGCACCAGAGGGAAGCTGGAATGAGCACCAAATATGAACTGTTGGAAGTGAGATCATTAGCTGATATGAAATGCCCCATCTTAAATTACTTCAGTTATACTTGTTCTTCATCTAAGAGCTTACTAAAGTTGTTGATGGTACCCACCAAGGCCTAACTTTTCCCTCTGTGTATTTTAGCGGTTTGTTTTGGCTTCTAACACGTTTAGCAGCTTCTTTGCCTGGTCCGCCCTGGGCAGCTTTGTGCTTGGCCTTTGCTTAAAGCTGTGTCTCCGTGTGTGTGTGTTCCTGTAAATATGTGTTGACTTTTCATGGGTGGTGTGCTGTGGCAGCACCACAGTACTCAGCTGTGGTTTAGGAGTAAGGTGGGGTTGATGGCACACTCCAGATTCATCGTCTCCCTGGTAACATCAAAACGATCAAAGCTACTTAGTCTGTTTTCTCCCTACATCAAATCCCTGTCAAGGGCACATTCATGAAAATATACAAGCTATTTCTATTATTATTATCATTATATGAATTTTTTTAGTGTTTGGCAGTGACTGGAAGTTTGCCATCCACCCACCTTCCCCAGATGGGTGAAAAATATCATTTAGAGCGACGGAATATAAACCAGCTGGTGAATTACAGCAGAAACATTGCTGAAGTATAATGTTTAACAATGCAGTCTGTGTGAATGATTTTATACTGAACTTCCCATAAATATTATTGTATCATAAGAAATAGTGATGCAAAGTGAATGTATTTTCCTGGTAGGGGATTTTTCTTGTCAAATGCTTGAAGTAACACTCCATGAAAGTTAGGTACTTCTGTCAGGCATTCACCCATGTTCTCCTTACTGGTATGTTCTTCTGGTTTGTTCATCTATGTTCTCCCTACATTTCATCAGCTGTTCTCATGGTAAGGTCCAGGCTGGGACCAGAGTCCTCCCTGGTTTGTAACTGGTACAGTCACCTTTTGCTAGAAGACATTAATGGCTGCAAAATGCTTCCCATCTGCTGTGATAATTCCACAGCCACTTTATTTGGGTTTAGCTGGGATGAGAGACAGTGGAAAATGAGGCCTGTCATGTCATGAAAACCCTTCCCAAAACAGTGCCATGGGTATGGCTCTAGTTGGCACCATTCCCTTGATAAGGAAATTCACTTCCACTTGAAAGCAATTGGGTGTGAGAGGATTTCCATAATTTTCCTGAATTCTATAAAAGAAATGAAAGGATCAAGGCTGAAAGTCTTCCCTGCTGTTTTCAGGCAAACTAATTCGGTGGTTTTTTTTTTTACCTAAAGCCACTGTTATCCTTGGGTTTATCAAAGGGCTGCCTTACAATAAAAATAATGCAAAGACATATTAAACTACTCACTACATGGGTGACATTGTTACACAAAGTAAATCAGGCCAGTAAAAAAATCAATTTTTCACTAAATGAATTAATACTTTGGTTTCAGGGTGGGAAGAGGACCTTTTTAGGGTATAAACTTGAGAGCTTTTCTTTCTGTTGCAACTCTTATTATTTTCTTAAGAAAATGCTCTTCATAAATATGTACCATTTGGGTGACTTAATGTTGTACGTATATTCTGTGTGTGCCAGCTGTGTAATTATCAAGACAGCCTTGTGTGATTTTGTTTTATGCTGTAAGCTGTATTTCCCTTGAGATAGGGGATCTGAATGCGTGGGGGTAGTGACTCATTTTGCCCAGTCAGTGATGGTGATTAGGGCTTTCACAGCATTTACATCACAGCAAGATGCTTGTGTCAGGTTGTACAGTTTAATACTGCACACAGCAATAAAGACTGAAGTGAGAAATGGACCAAGCATGACACACTAGCTGAAAGTGCTGTGATAGATAACAAGCCTTGTCCTCTTTGATTTGTCTGCAGCAAGGGACAATGGGGTGTTGATTTTACCTTTGCAGTGGATGGCAAATGACCCGGTTGCTCTGTAGAATCAGCAGAACCTACAAAAAAGCCACGTCTACATAGTGAAGTACCTCTAAAAAAGCCAATTAAAAAAATACCTCTTCCAAGGATCCCACGAGGGAGCGTGTTCTCAGTAACTCTTTGTTCACTGCTCTGCACTGCACTCACAAGCTGGAGAGGGAGATTTGGTTTTTTATGAATGGTAAATGGGGAGGGACATAATGTCATCAGATCGTGATGTCAGCCCAATGAATGAAATACTTCCCTAATGTATTGCTCCAAGCCCAAGAAAAGGGACACCATCTCAGTTTGGCTCCCTGGAATAAATCGCCTTTTGCTGACGAAGTCATCTTTCCCACGTGTCATGAATAATCCATGTAAATTGGGACTTAAATAACCAGGAGTCAAGAAACTCGTGGAACAGTGCACGTTAGTTCCCTCGCACGTCCTCCCGGAGCTGCCAGTGGAACACCCCTTTGCAGGCACCGCTCATGGGCTCCGGGAGTTGAGGCGCTATCGCTGATTCCTGTTGTTCTCCATCCATTCCCAATGTTCTGCTTTTGTCTGCAGAATTCTTTGTTGAAGCTGCAAGCCTTGGAAACCGATCTGTGCTCTGCATTCCTGCCAAGCCAGGAGGAAACTCCCCAGCTGCCGGCACCCAAGGACACAGCCCCTCCATCCGTGCAGACCGGCGTGCAGGCTGATGGGGCCGGCGGTGGAGGTAAGCGGTCCTGTCGTGGTGTGCTCTCATTTGCAATTATAAAAGAGCCTTGTGACTTGCAGTTTAAAATCAGGTTTGCAGTCAGTTCCTCCGGGAAACAGTGCAGAGCTAATGCAAAGCACCATTTCCTGACGCAAATGCTGTGTAATGTAAAAAGGGGGTGATTCCTCTCGAAAGGACAGAAATTAATGGCTGTAACCCTTTGGTTTTCTGAGGGAGAGTCTTGCTTGTCAGACAGGTTTTAAGAATCCTGACTCTTTTATTTTCAGTTTTAACCTGCTATTTTTTTCCAAGTAAATTTGTGCTCTTTACTTCCTATGTCTGTATTGTGTGAGATCACCTGCCATATCATGTAATTCTATTTTTGTCATTCTTTTTGTCAGAGCAATATCACTTCATTTCTCCTATTATTGATTTTAATTTAATGCATCAGCAGAGAGATAGCGAAGGTGAGTTTTACAGCATGTGGATTTTAATCATTCACGAAACCCGTATTATTACACATATGGGCAAACTGTGGTGTGTTTTCTTTCCCTCTTTCCTCAATATGGAAATAAACAGCCCCAAGGCTCGGCACTATTTTTGTCAATTCATAGCTTGCAGTCCCAGGGCTTGGCAGAGTCGTGATGCTCAGTAGAAGAGGAGTCACTGATCGTGAAAAATAGGTCAAAGGAGTATGACTAATACATCTCACAGACAAGTGACATGAATACACAAATACCTAAATCGTGCACCATGCATGGTTCAAATTAAGGCAGGTGGGTCAGTAAATCCCTTTGCAATTGATGTTTCATGTCAGAATACATCTGGGTTCAGAAGAACTTACTTCAGAAGCTGTTTGCTCAGCATTTCCAGCAAAAAAAAAATAACATTGTTTACCTAAAAAAATAAAAATCACAGATGATAATGTTCTGCTTAAGAAATTCTAAAGTTTGAGGTTTGCATTGCAAAATTAAGGAAAAAGGTATGTAGAAGTCAAATTATTATAAAAATGAAGGAATGTGAAAAAGCTGTTTTCTGGGTTTTAGCTAAAAAAAAAAAAAAAAAAAAGGAATGCTTTAGCCCAGCAAGGGAAATACTTTAATGGCTCTTGGATACAGGTATGGAACTTGGACTGGTGCCAGCCTTGGCGTGGATCTGAGGCAGAGACAGGTCTCATGTGTGTGCTGCACAGGCAGAGACATTTTGCAGCTCATCCAAAATCTGCAGTGACCCCTTTCCTTTGTGACCGGGTGGGGTTTTCCTCCCTTTCCAGTAGTTTACCACATTATTTTGTTCTGGTAGTTTCATAGTTCATTGTTAGACGGTCTTTAATTGTTTCTTTTACTTATTTTTACTGTTTTGATTAGATTTTCTTTTTATTCCTGCTGTTAGTAACCCCTGCTTCCAATACCCTCTCTGCTCCCACTTGCCCATCTGCAGCTACTTGGGGAAATATTGCATGATGTAGCATTTTTCTTGCACAGTTCAGAGCATGCTCTGTCACTCCAGCAGTTCCAACTCTTGCTTTAGTTAAAGCCTCCCTATTTAATGGGTTTTAACGTGCATTCCTTCCTGCTAACATCTGCTTTGTGGTTTGTGGTATTTTTAGCAACTTGCCATTTTGCACAGGCAGAGCTGGCCCTCATTCTGCCTTTTAAATTACTACTGAGATCTTCTGATGCCCTGAGTTAAGGTACAGTTGTCACATGGGACTACTGGCTATTTCAGCTCAAACTTGGATGGAAATCCAAAGACTGGTACCAGTCTAGGCAGAGTTTTTAGAGGATGTGCCATATATGCTGCATCTCTAGTTGTTAACCTTTCCTCGATGAATCAGGCAAAATAAACACGATCCTTTCATTTGCATCCCAGTCAACAAAAACTAGATAGGTATGCATCATATGCATGGTGAATGAAGACAGAACAGGCTACTAAAATGACAGGGTATTCCAGGATGCAAATGGTAAGGGGATGAACAGTAACAGATGAGCAAAGTTGGCAGTTTCCAGTTTACTTCTGAATACGTAGAAACAGAATTTGAGTTGCCAAAGTTAGGCCATAAAAAATTTCTGGGGGTTACTACACTAGTAGGGGAAAACAGAAGAGCAGGGTATAATTTCTGTAGCTTTTGGATATGAGTATATATCAAATACGTGACTTGAGCAGTGAGCAGCTGAACCTAATTACAAGAAGTTCTAAATGGCTTTGAAATTAAAAATCCTCGTAGCAGCACTCACAGGCATTACATGTTGAGGGCTGAACATGTTGCATATGCATAGTATTTTTTCTACACAAGAGATTTCAGTGTATTATTGTTTTATTTAGAGAATATCACAGGTATCAGTACAGACATGTACCACAGGACTTGTTGCCATGTGAAGTCCATCTTATGAACATACTGCATAACATACCAGAAGCTGGCCTAAAGTCCTGTCCAGCAGATGAGATGGAGTAGATGCCAAGGGGCAACTTACTGGCTTGGGTAGAGGCAGCTTTAATTCTCAGTATTGTCAAAAATAGAGGCTAAAATGAGACCAGACACATGAACACAAGGAGAAGCTTGGTCAGTTCATGGGCTACTCTCAGGGTAATTCTCAGAGTCTTGTTTAGGATCTAGTTAGAACTGGAACCATGATGACGGCCTTAAGACTTAATTAAAAATGGGGTAGGTTAGAACTTGTTGTCATCACCGAGGTGTTTCACTACTACAGTAATCTGGCCAGGTAAATGAATCAGGTTGAATTATTTGCTGACCACTCATGAACAGAAGGCAGTAATTTAATGCACCTGTAGTAGGGTTAGAACTAAAGTCTTTCTTGGGCCGTACCAAAGTTGCACCACTGTGCATGGCCCTGGTGCCAAGGAAATGGAAGTGCCCTGGCCTTTGGGGAATATTCCCAGATTCATCTGGCATGCAGGTTGTCTCCCTTTCTGAATGAAAAAACCTCCTTGAATTTTGTGTGTTTTCACACTGGAGCTGCACCAGCTGCTACTTGTCCTTTGCATTTATCTTCAAGGAGTGTTTAGTCTTGAATGTGTGCTTTTCTTCCATTTTAGAGAGTGGATTGGCCCTAGGAAAATTGCCTGGTTGGAAATGTGAAAAGGAGCAAGTGTCTGTGACCCTGTGGTTTATCAGCAGTACAGTCTCCTGCAAGAGGGGTTGTTCTAGGTCCACAGAAAATCAGTTTAAACATTGGGAAGTTGTTTTCTGCACCTGCCATAAACAGACTGGCTGATCTTTTTATCACATTATTTTCCTTTCACAGCGAGGGGACTGCTACTTAATATGACTATAAAAGAGTTTATTCCTAATAATAACAGAACATGAGAAATCTGTGAAACTATTCATAGTCAACCTACTTCACAGTGATTGTATATTTCTTGAAGTTCAAAGATGGTGAAATTAAAGGAAGGAAGCCAGGTTCTCCTCACTGGCAATCTTCAGAATAGAAAAACCCAGCAACAACAGCAAACCAAAACCCATCCAAAACTGTATATTTTTTAAAAATCTTGCAGGGCAAGAGTAATTGCCAAAAAGGGATAACGCTTTTGCTGACAGCCATTATTCCAGCCATTATCACTGTGTGCTGTCAGCACATGATTTCCCATGGCTGGTACAGTGCTCTGCCCTTGCTTCTCCCAGATGCCCCTATGGGATCTCTCCGTGGGAGGATTTGAATCTCACACATGGTTTAGGAGACTTGGGTGTTGCTCTGGTATCTTGGAGAGTGGAATTTGACCTTCATAGTATGAAGCACTGAGAGGAGAGATGCAAGGTTAGAATTAATAATCAGCCACATTGTCTCATCATGAAAATGCTTAACATAATTATAATTGATGATGCTGTCAAGAGTAGGTGAGATACAAAGGTCACACGAAATTTTTGCATGACAGACTGTGATTATACAGTAGGATTTTTTGTTGCCTGTAAAGCAAAAATGGGTGGATAGTGCCCAATAAGATGATATTTTAGGCCATTGTAACTACTGTGTGTTAAATTAATAGTTGTTTTTTTGTGAAGGCTGCCACTCAGAGCTGTTCTTTCCCCACTGTCCCAGTGCAGAAATAGGGATTTGCAGCATTGGTACCTCTTGGGCAGAGGGCAAATAAAATGTACTGCACTAAAATCCTGACAGAAATCCCCACTCAGCATGGGAAAGTCATGTCCCATGTGCAAAGGAGAGAATCCAAAGAAAGTGAAGGTGAAAGAACTTACCTAAACCTGCCAGTTCTTCTGTGAGTAAATCCATGTACAGTTGTTTTTCAGCGCAGTTTTAGACTTTCATTGAATAAGAAGATTCTGTGAAATGTCTTAGAATGCAAGACATATGGCAAATATAACACTGATCAGAAATCACATGCATGCTGCCTGGAATTGCAAAATAAGTGAATTAAATATTTGAATTAAAAGGCTGTATTTCTAAATGAGTTTAGAAAAAAATAAAATAACATAGCTGGTGTAAAATATTATGAACTGTGGAAATTGCTGTAGGGGAAACTGAGACAGAGCAAAACAGAGAGAACTTTTGGGCAAGGACTTTTATGACTGGAGTTTCTCCCTAAAAAGTATCATCTCCTTTAAACTGCAATCATCTGATAGCAAAAATATGGATTAGGCTACATCATTCTCACCCGTTTCAACTACTGGGGGTGAGGAATAAGATACAATGATTATTCCCTTTAATGTACTCATGCACAGCAAAGGGAAGATGAACTCTGGATATTCCCTGGAGGTAGGCACTGTAATGTGCCCATTATTTTTCATGTTACCCATAAACAGAACCAGTGAGATGGAGTTCATCAATTCCTACTTTTTTCTAGCTTGATCACCTCTATAAAACAAATTTGACCTTTTGAGGCACCTGAGGTGAGGTTTCCATTTACAGTCCAAGGCACTGTTAACGCAGAATCACAAGCATGACTCCTCCAGGCAGCAGTCACTGCCCACCTACCTGGAGTAACTAACTGCAATATTACTGGTGGTGGTTGTTATTTTCATATCTTGTGTTCTTTAGACCCATAGGTTATGTCACTTCAAACCTTAACAAAAATCTGCAAGCAGCCCTGGAGTTTTACAGCATCAGGGCATATTATATTTTTGATCTTCCTTTCTCTTCACCAATGGAGTAAATGTTAAATCACAAAGTTAATCTTACTTTGCACACTCATCATCTACTCCAGAAATGTGGCTCTCAAAAGCAGACAGATCTGTGAAAATACAAGTAATGCTGCTACTCTGGGAAACTCTCCATCTTTATATCATACTTCATTATTTACAAACACACCCATCCAACTTCTCCCGTGGAACTCAAAAATTATTTACATTAAGCCAGTAACTGCACTCCTGTTTTGTCATCCTCAGTCCTGTGTCCATCCTGCATGTGATACTTTGCTGAACTGTTTGCTGTTTACTGTGAACCTTGCTGTGAGGAAAGATTTGCATTCACCTTGGTAGCTGAGTGCCTTGTGAGTGACCCTCGGTCCACACTGGTTTGTACTTTCTTTCCAGAGCCTGTGCCAGCCCACAGGGACTGGCAGAATGACATGGAGAGCAGCCCACAGGAACATCACTCCCTGGGGACCAGCAGACTGCTGTATCACATTACAGATGGAGACAATCCTCTTTTGTCACCACGCTGCTCTATCTTTAGCCAAAGCCAGAGATTTAATCTAGACACAGAGTCTGCCCCTTCTCCACCAAGTGCGCAGCCTTTCATGGTGTAAGAAAATGTATTTTAATTCTTACGCGTTTTTAAAACCCTTTCTGCAATCCACAACCTTTGACTCTTCTTGGTTTTGTTTTTTTTTTTAGTCACTGTCATGTCATAAACAGGAAATTTTTCATAATGTGGTGTATTTTGACATGGATAATTTCCAGTACCATAAATAGGATCTAGTGTTCCCTCTGTCATAACAGAGAACAATATTGTTTGAAAGCTTTGTTAACTACAGTTAGCAAGGACGGTTTTAAATGTTTGTTAGTAATTAGTGTGATAAGATAGAAAGGACTATCATGGCATAATACTAAAAATTTCAGCTGTAATTGAACTATAGGTTGAGCCATTCACTAGATGTGACAGTGTCATACAGCATATGAACTATTCATACATGTGATTTCCAGAAACCAAGCTGCAAGTTACAGAGAGAAATCAAACTTTCTTGAAGGCTCATATACATAGCTTCATCTGCATATGGATAATAATCAGATCTACTGATTTGCTACCGTAAATAATAAATAATCAGAAACTAAACTGCCTTCAGAATGATAATGCTTATTCTCAGCAATGAAAAACTCCCTGCACTTACTCTTGCAAATCATGTTGTCACAATCTCCTGTCGTAGTTGGAAGATTTGTGAATTAAGGTGTGGGTGTTAAATGTAAATCCTGGATGAGGGTTTGACTTACCAGATTTTTTTAATTCGGAAATCCCACAATTAATTATAAAGAGAGAGAATGAAAGACAGATAGTGAACCCATTAATATACCCTAGAGGCACCTTCAATCAAAAGCAATTATTTTATGCTTACTTTGTAAACCTAAGTTGTCTCTATCTTGTAAAATAACCTAGCTGTGGATTCTGAAGTGTTAAGAAAGGGTTAAAGTGTGGCTGAAACAAGGCAGCGTCCATTATAGACAGTTCTTAGACCCAGCAACTATTCTTTTGGCTTTTGCAGGCCAAGAAGTTCTTCCAGATGTAACTGTGAGGACTGCAAAGAGCCACAGACAGTAACACAACTTACCAAGCATCTGCAGAGCCTCAAGAGGAAAATTAGGAAGTATGAAGAAAAGTTTGAGCAAGAAAAAAAATACCTGGTAAGATAATAATTGAAAAGGGCAATACCAGAAGAGGGAGGCAAGGATCCCAGTGTATTTAAACTTATGCAAAAAAATATGGGAAAGGGTATTTTTAGTAGAATGAAATGGGAAAAAGTTCAATGAGGGAATATCTTTTTAACATCTTCCAGTGTAAGCAGTAGTTCTGAGACTCTAATTTACATTTTCTTTGGATTACCTTTGTTGCAAAATATCCACCTTCGAGAAGTGTGAATCAGTGAAATGTCGCTGACAGGCTTGTGAACCAAAATGATGCAAAAAATGAAAAAAAAATGGAAAAAAATAGATAAAAAGCTACTCATTCACTTTGTAGAACTCATTTGCTTGGAAACTGTTGCTCCTCTGTGCAGATTCCTTCTTTCAGGCAGACTCCTGTAAACCTCCAAAGTATGGGGCTCAACAGAAGCTGATGGCAGAAATTAGAGGAATAAAACTTCTGGGGGGGAGGGTGTTTGAGGTCAGTGCTGAGCGCTGTGCCCTCTGTGCAGGATTGTTCACATCGAGCTGGTTTGTGTAACGTGGATTGTGCAGTATAAACATATCAAAGCATCCTTGATGCTAAGAATCTGCACAATTTGAAATAGGGAGGTTTGTGATATTTTCTGACCATATTAAAATTAGTTACATATTCCTTTGTAATCCCATTGGTGACTGAAAACTTGAAATTGCGAATTTTATGGCTCAGTGGTCATCATATGCTCCCAGGAGAAAAATTTTATACATAATCCTCACACTGTGACTAGAAAAAGAAAAAAAAAATTCAGAGGATTAATTTTGCAAAACACTTATGCAATTTTTAATATCTTGAGTTTTGAAGATCCAGTGTAAATTGCTTTAAACTTGGAGACAATTTATAAATGCAAAGAAAGAACTGATATACAAAGATTTAGTTGTTACTTTTGAAATGACTCTTGCCCAGGATTTTTTCATTTCATTATTTAAGCAGGTCAGTGGAAATTTTTTAAGGGCTGTTTCCCAGCAGAATCCTTGTCTTAAAGCAAGGGCTTATCCCTGCAAAGGGACAGAGAGCTTCAGCTACCATCCTGGAAATCACTTAGGAACTTGACTAAAATTAGGTATTTGATCAGTCCTTTTGAAGTCACTGAGATTATTTACCCGATTAGTCAGAGACTTAAATGTTGTTGTGTCGTTTTCAGCGTCAGAGGCAAAATGCTCAGATCCATGTAGGCACCGTGCCACAATGGGCAGAGATGAGCCATGACAAATTAATGCCATGATCGAGCCAAACGCCCTGCGTGGCACCACAACACCAGGCAGCGGGAGCCACGGGCCTTTCGTAGCATGCAGGGTTTTGTCTGTTTTGATCGCTTAACTCTCAATTCCCTCTGTTTCTTTCCATTCTTTCCATTTGTTTTTTTCATTCAGCCTTCCCACGGTGACAAGACTTCCAATCCCGAAGTTCTGAAATGGATGAATGCTTTGGCCAAGGGTCGCAAGCAGCTCAAAGGTACATGATAGCACGTCGCTTCCCTTTATTGCTGAAGCTTTTGGAAGTAGGAGTGTACCTGGAATATTTTAGTCAGTTGTCTGACCTCACTGCTCTGCTTATTTTTCACAGTGCATGGCAATAAGTCACTCAAAGGCAACAAAGATATTAGGGGATACGAGTTGCCTTGATTCCCAAAAGCAGGGATTAAAGTAAGCCAGTTCAACCTTCATTGCAAGGCTAGAAAGGGGAAGGGGAAAAAGACACCGTCTCTCCTTTATCACTATAAACATTCATGCAAAAGGCAATGCTGTTCTGAATATTTTCATGAGTGCCTGAAATAGAGAAGTTAAAACTTTTCCTTGTAATAGCACAAATGGAGGTGCAACTATTTCTTTACGACTGAGGATACTCATCTCTAAAAATTTTCTTTGTTTTGATCATAAGAACAGATCTTTCCTTGGTATTAGGTTTGGTCTTGAGGGTCAGGTTTTGCCCTTGACTGTCTGCATATCACTCCATTAACGTCTAGGGGTGTATCACATGCTTTCCCTCAGGGAGAATGTAGCCAAGACAGATTGATTTTTTTTCTTAAGGTTATTTATAATTTATCTAAATCTTTTTTTTCCCCCTGTTATAAATGGATTCTCACTGCTAGATAAATTGTAGTTCTATCTTTCATCTCTGTTCTGGATATAGTTAATAATGTAGATATAGAGGCTGTGATTGTGGTAAATAAAGAATCAGAAACCCATCCTTCAGTAAATTTCTTCTGGAAAATTCTCCCTTGAGTACTATCTTATATGATTTCATCATCATCATCATTATGATTATTATTTATGTTGTTGTAGTTATTTTTCCTTGAACTTTGTGTCACAAATCCAGGAAAGGCAAATGAGTAGAAATGGCTAATCTACATAGTTAACTTTCTGAAAATCATCTATCTGACTCAATCATTGCCTCTCCTAACCAGGGTCTCGTGTTCATAGATCAGCCTCACCTTCACACCTAAAATGCTTAATCCTGTGACAACCCTTGATTTTATTATCCTGAATAATGGCACTGCTTTTAAGTGAAGTGAGATTCATGAGGTTCACGTGACAAGTACAATTGAAATGGAAAACACTCAAGTGCTTGTGAGTCCTTCTCCAAGTTCATAAGGCTTGTCCATCCTTTCTAGCTCTATGGGTCAACTGAAAATCGCTGGTTTTCCCTACAAAGCTGGCCTATATCCTCAGACTGTAACAGCTAAAAAAATTTGTCACTGTTTCTGCATGGATTTCAACAAATTTAACACACATGGAGCCATCAGCCTCCTGCCTTGCCCAAGGTGCCGCACCAACCAGATGTATTCTAGGAACAAAGTCTGATTTTACAGGAGCTAATTCAGATTGCAATTCAATTTCCCCGTTGCTCTGTGCAGGTCTCTGGAGCTCCAGGGTCTCTGGCTTGGTGTCAAGCTAATATTCTTGCACACTTTATCACAGCCAGGCAGGTTGCTGACTGGGAAGCTCTGACACACTGTAACCCGTCTGTCTTCTGGGTTGCTCAGGTGCTCTTCTGCCAAGGGAAGTGGCTGTTTCTCCCAGTGAGGACCACCTTAGCCTGGCTGGGAGGGCAGTGCAGCCTCTGGGAGGGAGGTGGAAGGTTTAAACTGCACTGGAGAGCAATGCTGGTTATCCAGACCTGTGGTACACGGCTCCAGCAGCCTGGCATGGAGGGCTCTGTGGCACAGCTTGGCCCCCCAAACCCTTCTTATTCTACTCCTCCCTTGTGCAGCAGCACAGGAGGGCAGGGAAGGACAGCTCGGGTGAGAGGGACACTGCAGAGACACTGCTCTGGCTTGGGAAGGTGTCTGTGAAAGATGCATCCTTAGACAGCAGTGCCCACAGCAGGCAAGGGCGTGTTCCTACTTATCCAGAGAGTACAAGGCTTAGCAAGAAGGAGGGGAATGAGAGAGCTCTGCTTTCATATTCCCCCCACACCCAACCTCCCATAAATATTTTCTCACTGTTTTTCCTTTTAAGCCCTTTCCCTAACTTCATTCCCACTGAAATTCAGCACTAATTTCTATCCAGATGCCACTCTGTAACCCCAGTGCCTCTTCAGTCCTCACCTTTTGTGTCAAAGATGGCCTTGGAGGAAAAATAGAATTACGTATGTGCTGTAAATTTCATTGTCACGGACACATCTCATCACTTGACCATTGGAATTCCCTTTAATCAGGCAAAAGATTTACATGTTAAAGTGAAGTAGAATTACTTTCCTATATATCTGTGGTATCATGAGAACTGTGTGCCAAAAGCAGGAAAGTTTTGTTTGTTTGTTTGTTTTCTCTAGCAGTGTCAGAGGAAACTGCTTTGCAAATATTTCTAATCTTTTTACCTGCCATTAATTTGCCTTTCAGAGCTGAAACTCAGAATTTCAGAAGAGCAAAGCTGTACCTCCTCAGCACCCCAAAGAAATGATCATTGTGAAAGCACTGGGACCTCCAAAGAGGCTGGCACGCAGGAGGCCACGAGCACGGAACCAGCTCCCTCGGTGGAAGAAACCATGGACAGCGTATTGAGGCGGCTAAAGGAGAAAAGACAACACTTTAACCTTCCTGAGGCGATTAAGGTATTTAACAAGCATGGCTGTTTCCTTTGGGACTTTATCACCTGAGGCAGGTATCAGTGTGTAGCTGTCCCACGGGGTGTGTGCCTCCTCTGTCATCTGGCACTGGCCTCTTCTCCCTAACGAGATGGGAGCTCTAGTGCAGTTTCTGAAGTGACTTCTCTGAGAAGAGTTCCCCAGACAAAGAGGTGCAGAAGGCCTTCTCAAGTAGAGCTGAGCACCTCTTGCTCAGAGGTGCCTGTGCAGAACAGTTTGCCAGGCACTGCTGGAACCTGCCTACTTGAGGCCGTGCGTGCAGGAAGTGCACACACAGGATTGCAAAAGCAATCCCATCTTCAGCCCACAGAAACTGTGTGACTATAAACCTCCCCGAAGTTCTTTTGATCATAAAAGGTCCTCTCTCCCCTGAGAGACGCTGAAAGCCTCTCTTTGCCCAGTCGATGGTTTGAGGTCACAATCCAGACAGCTTTACCCTTCTGATCTTGTACGCTTACTTGTGCTGTTACTCTCTCTGCTCTTCCATGTTCTCATTCTCTTCTAAATGTAGGAGCAGTATTCTGTGAGACATGATTGCTTGGCTGGGTAATTAATTTTGGTTTTGAACATCTTTTAAAGTTTTGCTGCTCCTTCCCATTCCTGGCACACTACAGGGTCATCTGAAGCAATACATCCCATCCAGCCCATTTTCTGGGGAGCTATTTTTGCTGTCCAGCGATGTTGCTGTTCTGATGTTATAAAACCAAGCAAGACAATAAATTCTGCCCTCAAAAGTACCTAAAATCTAAATGTTAACAGTAGCCTTTAGACTCTGGCAGGTGAACAAAAAAGGGGATGAAGGGGACAAGGAGGGATAAATGACTAAATGCTCAGCTATGTCAGAACTAGGAAATTATTCTGGGTGGATTTCAGTAGCAAAGAGTACCCAGTAGAGATAATTTTTAATTTTTGTTTTGCATCTATTCTTAGTTCTTAAACAACTAGTTGCTATATAAAAACCAGAACTGTGCATAACAATGCCATGCTTCTGAGATCTTGAGCTCTGTATACATGACTGATTTTTTAATTGTTTCTTTTTTTATGCTACTTCTTAAAAACCTGAAATGGAAAATGTGTTTCATAACCAGGAAACAAAAGAAGACAACAAAACCGTGCTGTTCTGTATATAGTCCTAAAATTCCCACAGTGTAGGGAATTGTTTTTTATTATGCAAGGAGTGAGATCAGATGACACCAAAACAGATGTCAGTGAGGAAATTCTGTCCAAAAAACTCTTTAAGAGTAAGCTGGGTGTGGATCTCTGCTCCACTGATTTTTCAATTTACTAGACTTCTCCTGATTTTCCAAGAGAACCTTCTAAATCTGTGCAATGGTAGTGCTGTCTTGAAATATTCTCACATAGAGTAGGATAATGTAAATTAAATGCTTGCACAAGGCATTATTTTCAAACGCCTTTTTTAAAAGGTCTTATTTATTTTCTTCTTGTGTTCTTGTGGAGAGAACTTGGTTGTTGTAACTGTTTGTTAGCAAAGGTGTTTGGTAACAGTCACACCAAACTGCTGGGGAACAGAGGCTTGAGCAGGAATAACAGGAAATCAAATTGATCTATTTCAAAGTGATATATTTTAGTAGCTCCCTAAGTACAACATTAAAAAATATTGGATTTTGATTATGACTCATCCTGGACTTTTGGGGGAGAATGAGGTTTATAGCACTTGAAGACGTGAAATGAATCAAGGATGTTTCATGGTTCCAGCAAAGATCAAAAGCTTCACTTCAGCTACACACAAGTTTGCTGTTACTGTAGATATTTCTCATGTGCAACATTTTATCTTGTACATAACATTTAGATCTTGTAGAAGAATCTGAGCCACATTAATAGTATAGTAAATAGCAGCTAAATGCTTTTTTTTTTTTTCCAATATTTAGTTATTTTGGGCAAGGATAGTGTTTCTGTAAAAGCCTGCCAAGTTCTCCCCTGAAGTTCCACTGTGGAAAGCCCCTAAGGCCCCGCTGAAATACAAATGAGAGAATTTGTGTCCTTCAGAGAGGTGTAGAGTAAAATCTCAGTGTGTCTAAAGAGCACAGACCACAAGGCCTGAATACCAAATAGCAGAATGTGGTTTCCAGAACAAAACAACCCCCCTGCAAAAGAGCCTGTGAGTAGAGTTATTAGATGAGTATATGTTGAGAAAATTTGGATTAGCCTATGAATGGCCCAGAAATCTACAAGGGGATGGCCACCTCTTAGTATTTGTGTCACTTGGGCAGGGGGACAGTGATTTATGTAATAATTCATCTTCTTTCTACCTTAGTGTAAAATGCTGCTTTGCAACGAGCCACCACACATCCCCAAGAGGCAGACTTTGGCCCTGGGAACCTGGACTCTGTGCCTGCCTGGAAAAAAAAGCACCTCTTTTGAGAGGCCCCAGGCAGGTCCAGCCCTTGCTGTCACACTGTCTGTCCTTCTGTCCTCAGTTTGTATTTTCTGTCTGTATAAACAACAGGGAGAGATGTTGGGAATGCAGGGGATAGAGCAGTAAGAAAATCAACTGTGTACAGCTCTCTGTTCCAAGTTATGAAAACCAAACTACTTAGCTTTAGGTGAAGTCTCCTTTTTCTTTCTTTTTACACGCCACAAACAATTTTTGCCTTATGTTTAGTTTGAATGTTTGCAGTCTGTCCCCCAAGGCCTTTCTCAGACTGGTTCCCTTTCTGCATCTGTCTTCTCATTATTGACCTTTTTCAGTTCATATTCTCCTTGGCTATGAAGCAGTGCTTTTATTTAATTAGCATTGAATTTTCCACTGGTCTATTCAGCCTACAGTCCTAAGATGTCTCACACAATTCTGTAGTTTGTGGTTTCACCTGCCTGCTCTGATTTTGAAATTATCAGGCATTTCAAACTTAGCTGAATACAAACCTGTCTTGAGATTGCTAATAAAATGAGCTAATGAAATAGGCTCAAATGCTAAACCCCCTTGAGATCATTTGTTGTGTGATAAATCAATATTAATGATCACTCCCTGTATCTTCCTAACCATTCAGCTGCTCTGGGCTTAATAGTTTTTGAAAGAATTAACCTTGTATTAATTGCAGAACTAGCAATAAATAAACAAATTAGCTAATTGATAATACTCCTGCATTCTAGTTAGCAGCTCATCTCTTAAAATGAATGACAGACAATGTTGGAGTGATTAACTCAAGCAGACCTTTTAAGCAAAATGTGATTAGCAATTCTGATTAGTGGCTCTGCACTGGTTTTGCATTTGAGGAGTGAACAAAAAAAGGTTTTATTTCTGCTCAAGTTAATAGCAAGGCATTCTGATATTACAGGAGTGTTACTTCTTCAGGGCTCAATATATTTTTTAAAATAGAGTCTAATTAGTAAAAATATTTCTCCAAGTTGTCAATAGAAAAACCTTAGTCACTGAATTTCTGCTGAAAGGCACCCTGTGTGTCCCCAACTCCTCCCAGTAATGGATCCTCCCATTACTTCATCTCCAAACCTGTGGACACTTGGCCCTGATTCACGCACCTCTGTCATGATCTTGGTGTTCGGGAGCAGATCTTGCTGGGAAGAAGGGGAAAGGGAAAAGAGGAGAGGAATACCCATTGCACTGTGTGCTCCCTGCAGCAGACACCTGTACCTGTCCTGGTGTATCACCAACACCGACAATTCGCATTGTTGAAAAATCAACATTCTTCTGGTACCAGTGGTTTGTGTTGTGATTTTTGAAGAGAAATAAACTGCCAGTGTGAGATGCACTTTCTGCAGCTCCCCCACAGCGGTTCTGCCAATGCACACTGTCCAGCCAGAACTTCCTGCTGCCTGGTCAGTCTGCTTCCATTTCATTTTATAGACAGTACCTTTTTCTAGTGCCCCTGGCATTTAGAGGGTGTTCATCGTAGTATCACAATGGCTGAATATTTAGGCATTTCACTGTGAGTCTATCATTCTACTCCACAAACAGGTTGGGTTTTGGCATTGCTGAAGCCTTTTGTTCTACACCCCTTACCAGACAAGGCAAATCCATTTCTCTTTTTTTTTTGATCAATAATTAAAAAGTCGAGGAATGGCCTCTCTGTATTTTTGCAAGTTTCTGAGTATTTTGAGCAGAATGGCAGCTGTTCTCATTTGTTGCAACTAAACATACTTAATATATAACAGGGAATGCTGTCTATGATTTATGAACTGAGCTGGCAAATGCAAGTTAACAGCATTTTCTGATTTCTGCATAAGACAGATGAGAAAAACATTTCTTTAATTTTTCAGTAACAATAGTTATTCATTAATGCTACCTAAATTGTTCTAAGAAAGTACTGCAATGGGTATCTGCGGGACCTCATTGCCAATGCCTTCTACTCATGTGCTGCCATCATCTTTTACGAGCCCAACTTTCCAAAACCCATCTGATGGCACACACCTCATGTCCATGCAATTTGGCTGAGATATTCCAGTCCAAACCCCTGATTCCTTACTGTTTCTGTCAAATGGTATTCTCAGAACATTTTTTTGGATGCAGACTCTGAGCTTACTAAGACCATGGTTTTACCTCTGGAACACTCCAGATAAGGAATGCAGTGTTCCATCAGTAGCCCAACAGCACTTCCTGGCCTTAAGCTTGTTAAATGGCTTTGGTAGAACAGAAATTTTGAGAGAAACTGAGGCAATCAAGTATTAGATGTACGACAGTTAGGAAAAATAAGATTCCAGGCTTTCAGTAAACTTTCATGTATGCATCTTTCTCCATAAGAGAGAGCACAAGTATCTCCACAGCTGCCATCAGCTCTGCATCAGGCCTTGAGAGGGTAACATGTCCTTTGATTAATTTAAAAATTCAGTCATGTAATTTTGGACTCTGCTTTTGCTAAGTTAATGCCAAGTCCCTACTGACCTCAGTGCAGGCAGAAAGAGGATTCATTATTAATGTTTATCTGGGGAGAGCAGATTATTAAACAGATATGTACCTGTACCCTTGTCATGAAACCCTGACTCATAATCTTATAAATAACTCTTTTAAATAGGATATGACAAAAAAGCAAATGGCTTTGGAAAAAATCAATCTTCAGAAATGTCTGCTATATTTTGAGAGTATTCATGGAGAACCTGTAAGTATGCCATGGAAAGATAGGTACATGAAAAATTATCTAAGTTATCTAACAAATATTTTTTGACTTGTATATTAAATATATTCAGATTAATTTTACACAATTAACATAACTTTAGTTGTTTCAAAATAATTTTCAGATATAAATGTTGTTGCCTGATACTGACGAATTTGGTTTATGTGTTAGAAAAATAAACTAAAATAAAAAGAGAAGTTTCTAGCGGCCCTGTATCTCTCTTCATGATTGGAAAATGCAAGGATTTGATGATAAAGTTGGAAGGTTATATATCCACAGCAGACCTGGCTCATGCATCCTTGGCTCTGCTATGATGTAGGGTTAGAATGCTTAGCAGCTGAGAAAGGTTTGGTACAGGGCACTATCTGGGACATGAACCACAAAACGACATGACCTGTCACGTGTCTTTTCCTTTACTACACAGCGGCACTTAAAACTGTTAATTAAAATCCTTTCAAGGGACTTCATGTATGTAGGTGCAAACCAAAAAAAAAAAAATCCCACCACTGGTGAGATGATTACTTGAAAATTTGTCTTTACAGAACTCTGGAATTTCTGTTTGATAGCTATGTCCACATTCTGAATTTTTGTTTGATTTCTATGTCTGTACATCATAGATATCTGTTTGATATCTGTGACTGTTTCTGGCTAGTAATTGCAGTGGTAGAGGAAAAGGGGAGTGGCACCAGCACGTGTCCAAAAATATGCCAGCTGTTAAAATTATCTCTACGTCTTGGATAAAACCGTTTTTGTTCATCTTCTTTGGGCTTGGAATGAGAGCTGAGGGATGGAGAGGGTATGAAGGAATTATATTTCCTAAGAAGGAGAACAGAAAAGAAATTATTAGTGCTATATAGACGTAAAAGAGACTTGATTCAAAAAACAGAACTAGAGGGCATGTTTTACAGCATGGGGTTCAGAGGGTGTTTCTTCTCAAGGTTGAAGCAGCTCTGTAATAGCAGCCTTGAAACACAGCGGAGCTCACTGGGGATGATGCTTGCCCTGCTGATGGCTCAGCATCACCTTCATCCAGACTTACCTTAACAAGGTCAGACAGAGAGAGCACTGACCACTTGTCAAACAAGAACCAATCTATTCTGGCTCTTTGGCATTCCCTGGAGCCACTCTTACGTGTTGTAGTCAAATGGGACATGACGACTGGGGAAGGGAAGTGGACTCACTGGGAGTGACATTCTGCAGTGAAATAAATGTGCCTCTGGAAATGGTCCCCAACTGCTCAGTGAGCCAGACGAACGCTGTGTCATCACCCTGTGCCTGCCTGTCACCCCTACTCTGCTGACCAGGCATGTGGCTGTTTCTGAGCAGCTCTGAACTACTGTCTGTACCATCACCCAGCCTGTGTCTCTTCAGAGCTGCTGTGTGTTCACTCATCTGAGGCGGTGGACCTCAGCTTCACTGCGCCAAAGATCAGTAACTTTGTACCCAGAGAGTGCTCATTAGGGGTGGGAATTGAGGAGAAGAGGCTGATGGTGGACTAGCTTGCAAATGACCCTGCTTTGACATTTAATGATTGAGGAACATGTTGTTTTTCTGGGGAAGATGAGGGTTGTTTGGTTGGTTGGGGGGATTTTTTGTCTTGTTGTTTTTCCCTGTGGAATTCACTCTTTTTTCCTCAGTGCAGTAGTCAGTCCACTGCACAGCTAGTTTCCATAAGGTTTATTTTTGTATTGGTGAATATTTGTGGCTTGATCAGTCTCTTAACAGCTGAATTTAAATCATACTCTCTTCCAAATCAATTCTTCTAGCACTCATAAAAGACCAAGAGCAAACTAAATGAACGGACAGTTAATCCTGGTTGTGGAAGGCAGTTCCAGTGAGGAATGCATGCAGCAATCCTGCATGGAGCCAGCTCCATGTGGAGGCTGTAAAGCTGTGCTCCTGGTGCTCTCCATCCCACTGATTCTATTCCATTGTCCCAGGCAGACTGTCACATTCCTGCAGGAAGCCTGTTGCCATTATTACAGCTGAGTGAGGGAGATGCCAATGCAAGGCAGAGTAGCAGTGTATCTTAACTCTTACTGCTCCACCAGCACCCTCAGAAAGTGAGTAATAGCCCCTCTGCCTGGGTGATGTGGCCCAAGGAAGTGAGGAAACCACATTGGGTATTCTCCATTAGAAAACAGATTGCCATTTTCTTTTTTAGAAAATTGTGTGAATTAAATTCCAGTTCCCATGGAATATCTGTGGAAGCAAAATACACATCTGGTCATATTCTTGTAATACTTTTCTCAGTTTTACAGGAGCAAATGAGAATCTTTTTTATTTACCTTTGATTTTTAATTTGGGAGGACTACATTTTGTTACAATTTCTCTTTAGGTCACTAAGCAAGAAAAGAGTCTCATGAAACCTCTTTACGACAGATACAGAATTATCAAGAAACTTCTTGCAGCTCCATCTTTGATCACAACAATTGTAAGTTGGAAAGAATTCATATCAATTGTAAAAAAAAACCCAAACACCACAACATAGAAAATGCTGTGCTTGATTTGTACCTCTATGTCCATTTGGCAGCAATAGAAGTACTGATATTCAAAAAACCTGCTCACTGGTTAATACAGGGTGTTGATATTTCAAATAGAGCAAATTCAGCTTCTAGGCATGTCAGAGGGTGCAGTTTATGGCAGCAGTTTCTGAGGCAGCACTTCAATGGACTGGGTAAGAGATCAAAGGCTGGCATTAGTTTTCCATTGTGGCTAACACTTGCAACACAGAAGAAAGGTTCTCTCTTTCCACAAAGCTCTCTGCTGTCACTGTGTCTTGCTTCTGTAATTTATTGACAATGCTTTTATCAATCATGCAGCATGTAAATATTAGTAGTATTTTAATAATATATCACTGTAATAATATATCACAGGACTGGTCGCATGGGGAGTAAAGGTAGTGGCATCTGGCTGCTTGGAAATTAATTAGCATGTCTATCATAAATACTAATTTAATAGTAATTGGAGCTAGGTCGATTTTAAAAATTATCATTGTCTTGTTAGATGAGAGGGGAGCTTCAGATTTCTTTGAAAAATCCCAATATAAAGCTTTGTACACACACATAGAGGTATTTTGTTGGAAAATTTAACTGAAATTCCCCCTCGTGTTACTTCTTAGGAGCTTTGCCCCATGGAAGTTTTATGTTTAAGCCTCAGTTTCAAAAGCTCAACTTTTCTTCTGAGGATGGAGGAACATGAGGAAGACAGCAGTATCCATCTATTTTGGTAGTTAAAGTTTGCAGCTATAAACCTGTGGAATCTCTCCTTACAGCTCTTGTTATCAGCAGAATTTCTGGACACAGTGCACACAGTAGAGGGTATATAAGAGGAGTACAAGTTCAAGCCAGACTGCACTGCTGAAATAAATACAGAATGTTAGTTAAATCTTTGCTACATATAAGGGCTTCAGAGCAAACAGAAATAAAGTGCTGGCTGGGGACACTCAGAAGCAGGGCCAATTTTTGTCCTTTATACTCATGGTGGGCAATACTCAGCTACCCAGTGACCCCACGAGCGCTTTCATGAACAATCTTGGTAAAGATTACCAAGATTTACCTGGGTAAAGCTCTCAATGTCTGTAACCTATTTCAAGGAATCCAGGGACGTAGATCCTAATTCTTTTTGTTGTCATCCTATGAACTGTCAGTGTTCCTATTTAAGCAATTAATTAAATAATGTCTCGCATTCCACAAGCAGGAGGAGGAAGACTCAGATGAAGACCATTCTCAGAGCAGCCGTGAGTTGTCATCGGGTCCAATGTCTTGCTTCCCGGTGGAAGAGCACCTGTGTTACTCTCAGGAGGAGAGTGAGCCTGCACATGTCTCACCCCTGGATGAAAAGAAAGTTTACAGGCAAACAGCCTTGTCTATGTCCAATTTACATGAGGCAACAATGTAAGTTCTCACTTTTTTCCCTTGTATTTTTAAAATGTTTCATGTAGACTTTGTAAATGAGACAGGAGCCATACCTGCTGCATAGGGATATTCCACACCAAAGGGAGTGATTCAGCATTTTCTTATGGGAGAGAAGAGGCAGGGGAGATTTGTTGTTTGGGCAGCATAGCTGTGGTTTGAGCTATTTATTCAAACAACTTTGTGCCAAGTCCAGGAAGAGCAAGGTAAAGGAAAGCAAGCAGATAAGAGAAATAACGACATACACAGAGTGGTGGATACGACATGATGGCACAGTGGAGATACACAAACCTACCTTTATTGCTGCAAAATTTGTAGCTGTGTCTACTTATGTTCTTACAAAGCTGTCATAAAACTGGAGGATAGTCTGCTCCTCTCTGTGTGTTGTGGGACTGACTGTGTGAGTGGTGTAAAAATGCCAGGGACCTTAGGCATCCAAACAGGAACAGGGGAGCTGCATGGAAGGTCACACAGCAACTGGTCACATGGGAGGCCACTGAACGCATGTAAAATCAATCTCTTCCTTGCCTAAGCCTAGTTATTAATGTCTGGCTGCCCTGAAAACTTACCACCACCCTCCACTGCAAACTCAAAATAAATCCCTCCTTATGATTTTTAGTTAAGAATTTCAGGTTGCATGAGACAACAAATCTCAAGATGCACGTGTGCTCTTATCGCTCAGTCCAGAATCTCGTTGCAGATTAATGCCTTCCAGGAACAGATATGCTCTCATAGCTTAGGGGATGGTATCTTTTTCTTGTGTTTTGATTGGAAGTTCTTAGATGCATAAAGGAAGCTAACCAGGCTCTACCAAAATTGAGAGTAAAAAAAAATTACTTAGATTTCTATGTAAATGAACTATGTGTGCAATAGTTTGCTCACAAATGCTGGGAAGATATTTCTGTGCATTTTCTTTTTATGCAAAAACCCAATAATTACCAAGTGCAAATGCCATCACAGAGTTCTTTCTCTGCTTAAAAAACCTTATTTTCTCTGAACACTAGCTAAAACATGGCCTCCAAAAACGATGCTTCTGGGAAACACTGGCATTTCCACTGCATCACCGTAATGATTGGTAACAGCTGCAAACATGAGCAGGGCTTGGATGTTGATTTTAATTCAGTTAAAGGGATGCAAAGCATTTCCTACTGTGAGATGCTGAGCTGCGTCAACTCCATTAATTCCACAGAGAATTAAGGCCACTAGCAAGACTCAATCCTGAATGATTTTCCTCCCATGTTGACCACAGAGTGTCTGCCTTCACTTTATTAGAAGGGTGAGAGCAGCAGCAAAGGGGAGGAGCACAGCTGTGTACCATTGGAGGGGTGTGGTGGAACATCTCAGGGCAGAGCTCAGTGCCTGCCATGGCCCAGCACAGCAGGCTCCTTGTTGCCCAAAGTGTTGGCTTTTACATTTCCCAGCACAAGGGGGTCTCACCGTTCTTGTCTCTGTCTTACAGGCCCGTTCTGCTTGAACATCTCAGAGAAACAAGAGCTGATAAGAAAAGGCTTCGCAAAGCTCTGAGAGAGTTTGAGGAGCAATTCTACAAACAGACAGGAAGGTAACTCACCAGCTCAGCCAAAGCCCTCTCCTGTCCCCTTTGGGTCCTCTGCAGGGGTGTTTGTTTCTGCCAGGGTGGGCACTCTGGGGTGAGCAGGACAAAGATGCTACAGCTGGGGACTGGAAAATACCACGGAGGTGTCCATCTATCTCCCTACTTAGTTCCTTCAGGATGTGCTCATCCCTGAGGACAGCTTGGATCTGGGGATTTTCCAGGTCACGCCTGCCACTGGTATAACCCCCATCTCAGCACAGGATCTTCCCTGAGCTGAGGGGAGGCTGCTAAAAGACTCTTTCTGAGAGTGTCAATCTGCAGGAATTACACTTGGTGGTTTGGCCGTTTTTAAAAGGCCGGGTTTTAAAAGCCAAAGCCACTCTTTCTTTCACCCATAATTAAATACTGGGTACTTCTCACTCTTCGCTTTTCTTCCTCCCTTCATTTAGCAAACCTTTTTGTTGAAAACTCTGGAGGGTATGGGCAGTGGTAATTGGTAACAGTTTTCAAAGCACTATGTTATAACTTCTACTATTATAACTATGTTATAACTTGCATATTTGAGAATCAAGTGATTATGCTTGTACATCTGTCAAGAAAGAAACTTTTCTGGCATATGAAAATTCATTATTTAAAATAATACTATTTCATTTGTCTATTAGAGCTTTTTGGTTCCTGTCAAATTATCTTTAGTCGTTTATAGTTACTAAAAAAAAAAAAACAAACACAAAAAACCAAAAAAAACCACCACCAACCCAATTCTCATTGGTTGTTGCAGAATTAATTTTAAAGACAGTTTCTCCTCTTACTCATAAAAGTGATGGTACTGTTATCTGCTTTTCATAGGAGTCCTCAAAAAGAAGATCGGGTGCCAATGGCCGAGGAATACTCCGAGTACAAGCACACAAAAGCCAAAATCAGGCTCCTGGAGGTTCTCATCAGTAAGCATGATATTTCCAAAACGATTTGAAGTGAATGCAATGCTGTGATATTGTTCTCTAGCAAAAAAAACCACAAGTAATGGAAAAGATAAAGTAATTTTACAGGTCTTGGTCTGCTGCACAATTATTTGACACACTGAGATTTTTGATGCACTTTACCAATTATAATAGCTGGGATGAGAGAGGACAGCAATATGCAAGAATATTAAGCACGGGTGAGTGGACTATAGTATATATTTTTCCTTTTGAAAAAGCCTTGAAGTGCACTGTGAGAATGTTAGGAAATGAAAAGGACACTGAAGTATTGTAGATCCTCAGTCTGACCTGCTCTAAAAGCGTGAGGAAATGCTCTCCAGGTTTTTGGTGCATCTTAGTACACGATAATGTGCCACACGTTTGTTTCCAGAATGAACATGCACTAGAATTAGCTGTTAATGTCAGCTCTCAATGTGCTGGTTATGAAGGAAAGACTCAGAACATACTCTGGGCTTTCAAGACAGAGTTACTGTTCAATTCCAGTAGCTTCAAAGAAAGGTGCAAAGGAAAAAACCAGTGCCAGGGAGAAGAGCAAAGTGATGCTGCTTATGCAAAAACAGAAAAAGGACAGAACATGATGGACAAATGGAACTACTGTTTTTTTTAGAGATGATATGAGAAAGTTCTTGGAGAAATGAAATAGAGGGTACTGGGAAGAGAGAGAGAACAAATGTACCGGCCGCTGTCCTTTTCACTAGTTCACAGGACCTGGCTCACAGAACTTAAAACTCAGTAAAATAGATCAACTAACTACATGCTAATTTTGATTTTTGTATGAAACTTTGCACTTTGTTTTGCCTGACGCTATAACATTCGCTTTTCTGACTACCAAAGCTCGTTTAGACGCATGCACTTTGTAGAATACTGAAGTACTTCTTGTGTTATAAATTGCCACATATATATATATATTAAAACAGGACTAGATTATTGCATTATGCTAAGATATTTTGGATAGATAAAGTACCTGGTATATAAGTGAGTGTCACAGTTATCTGATGAGGACCGTTAGACTTCTTGTTTACTGAAAATAAGATTATATAAAGTTATTTTTCCATTGGAATTATGCATCTTTCTTAACTTTCAGAGCACCACACTTTGTAATATTAAGGAGATTTTGTCACTCTTTGTGATAGACCATTGGTGTGAAAAGTGGACTGTTAACTGAAGGATTATCAGCAGGTTTTGTATTAGAAATGGAAAGCAGGGATTGTGGGAAATACCTATCCCAGACATAAAGGAGGGAAGAATTCATTAAAGAAAGAAAAAGGGACTTGAATAAGTTGCATCATGTTTAGTGTTTTGCTTTAACTGTCATTTTGTATTGACCACATAGTATAAGCAACCTGTTTTCTATCTTGGTAAGAAGATTTTGATTTTATAAAGCCTATTATGTACCAACCATGTTTGTACTTATCTTGCGTGTAATGGCATGATTTGGAAGATGGACACATCTTCAAGTAGCTTGGAGGAAAAAATATGAACACTAAAAAAGGAATTTTTTATTTCAGAGATGTTTGTTGTTTCAGTGTACTGACTTAATAATTTATAACTTAACTTTTATGAATCAGAAATGGTCTTCATAAATCTGTTTTAATTAAAGTCATTGAGAGCAACAGGAACAGATACAGAGCTATTTGAAGTTTACAAACTACATCTTTGATAAGGGAAAATGATTTAATGACATGTATACAATTGATATTAAAATGTAATCTATATATTCTATATGATTGTATAATATTTTATACAACAGTACAAATAAAATATTTTTCTATTATATTTATTATGTCGAGACACAGTTTCTGTTTTCAGTTAGCTAATATAAATAACATAAATAACACTGTCAAACAACACGTTGGAAGTGCTGACATCTCTAGGCTCTGAAATTCAAATCATGCTGCAATTACAACCTTTCATGCTGTTCAGAGTTATCCCAGTACTTGTTCAGTAGTTAAAATGAATGCATATTTAAACACCATTTATAAGCCGTTATTTTTATTTTGCTAAAGCAGTTTATATAGGACTTTGTTATGTTTGGCAAGAAACAGAAAACAATTTTTGCAGCATCTAGGGATAAATGGTTGCCAGAAAGAAACCCAGGACTTCTAATCATTTAAAGCATCGGGGGAACAGAAGGGAAAGAGGGGGAGAAGAAATACTACGAACGCTATTGGAGATTTTGAAGACTCGTGTTTGCTTTTGGTGACAGCGGCATGTGCATGCTTCCGACAGAAACGTCTGACTATGGACATGGGCGACAGAGGCTGGAAGGCTCCTAAGGAACGAGGGAAGTTTTAACGTCCAACACTGATATTGCAGGTCTTGCAGCTGGGATCTTTCTTTGCGTTTGCGGTAGACAAGCTCATGAGTTGGTGACCGGTAATTTCCGCAACTGTGCCGAGGGAGAGATCCACAGGATCAGTGTAAATTACTTCCAAAATAACATCCTGGGCGTGATGGTAAACCATGACACCGTCTTCTTCGTCGCAGGTCAGAAATTTATTATCTTTTATATTTAGCTGAGGAAGGCGCTGCTTACAGAACTCGTCTCCCGGTGACCCCACGGGGGCGATCACGAGGATGACGTAGTGGTAGGCTGTGTACATGCAGTAGAAGTCTCCAAAGTACAAGTTAGTATTTGGGTTGAAGAGTTTTTCAGCTGCAATCTCATACCTGTATCTTCCATACGGCGAATCTTGGGGCGGCTTCCCGGTGTTAAACTCGGTATTGCAGCTGAAGAAGATGCCTTCCAGCTTCCCGCTGATCGGAGAGCCATGGCTGCCACTGTTATCCTTAACAGAGGGCTGCATAGCATTCCCGTGATGCTCTCTACAAATGAATGACTGGTATTGTTTATTTTGTACCACATGGTAAAGAAAAAGTGAAAAGTTAGGACATCATGCTGTTTGGATACAGTACTGAAGGGCCCCAAAGGAAAACTGTTAAACTAAAAACGAGGTTAGTGTCATGATCTTAGGACCAAGAAAATCAAGTGACATCAGAGTTGGGAAGAGCTACAGTAACTCCTGCTCTAGGGAAAAATCTGCCTTTCCAGTCTGGCTTTTCTATCAGTTCTGTGGGTATTACACGCAGGCAAAAACCAGCACAAACAAAAAAGCCCTCAAACCACCAATATCGTTAATTAGCTCATTTGTTCAGTCTTCCACTACAATTCTAACAATAAACACATGTTGAATATTGCAAGTCAGTCACCATATGCTGAATATACTGTATTTTTAGCATAGGCAGTATATAGTTCATGTAGAAAACTGCCAGTGAAAGTTATTTCTGAATGATGCTTTTCAGAGAGGTTATGGGAAGGAATGTACTGTCTGCCATAGTCTATTTTCCCCCAAATGATAATTTCAAGTCTAATTTGCCTACTGCTGACTTCAATCAGGGCAGAGCTGGGCACAGAGGCAATTTGGTTAGTTTCCACTTTGGTTGTTATCCAGCTTCTGCAGTCACTAGTCCTAAGGGGAAAAATCTGTAAGACTAACTTTTTTTTTTTTCTTTTGCAAGCTGAGCTCAGTTTCATTCCAGCGAAAAGAAACATACCCTGTACAAGTGAATTTTTAATCCTCTGAATCCCAGATTGCACTCAGCAGCAGGAGGCTGCTAAACTTTGGAGAACACTCCAAAACTCCTGATCTAATCCTCCTTAGCACCTGAGATGTTTTGTATAGCAGGACATTCCCCAGAACTTGTGCCTCACGCCTGTCTGGAATTGCCCCAGTGACAGCTTTGGCTCTCTCTGCACCTGCAACCATGTAATGCCTGAAAGGGAAATATCCCCTTTTGTAAGTCCTGCAAAACATATTTGCTATGCACCCTTAGAAAATTGCCTTTATACTCACTGACAGATTACAGATTAAAAATACATGTGTCTGTGGAGCTGGAGAGTCCTATATCCCCTCTCTTCCTTAGCTTTTACTTTTTTTTTTCCCCTTCTTTCCTTGGTTTTTGTTGTTGTTTTTAGGAGAGGGGAAACTAACCAAGAAATACTGTTCTCTCTCTGCTTTTAACTTGCAAAAGGTCCAGGTAAAATGGTGCTGCATGGGAGAAGGTTTTGCTTGGTTAATATGGGAGGTAGCAGTCAAAGCAAAAAAATTCAGTGTATACCTACAAAACAGCTCTAAATCAGCTCACTAATGTCTCCAACTGTGGGAGATTTCTAATCTTCTCATCAGCATATTTGACTCTAAGAGAAGTTCCAACAGTTTCCTGGGCCATTCCAACACTACTTAGTTATTGTCTCAAGTCCTATTTCACAAGACATTGATTGGGTTGGGGGGTATAAGTTATGAATTTATTACTAGAGAGAAAAAAAAAAAAAACTAAGCCAAAACCTTGAACCAGCTTGGATAACCACCTGAAACTTCTGCAACCTGAACAGTCAGGCTTCACTCAGCGAAAGTCAGTCCCGCTTCTGTGGCAAGATACTGACATCCAGTGGCCAATTAGGCTAATTATAGGTGGCCCTTGCAGGGGATCTGAGCTGCTTAGTGGCGCTCCCAGGCGACGTAAACAGCAGGGACATGAACACGACTTAGGGGCTGCTGCTTTCGCACCCTGAACAACTGCTCCTTTGCCAGTGCCACTGGAGCTCTTCCAAACTTGTTTGCTGGTCACAACAACCTCAGAGGCCACTGGCAGCCATGGTATGACAAGGAATTTTCCCTAAAAGGGAGCATGTGGTTAAGGTTATTAACATAACCTGCAGGAGGGTCTATGGTGGAAGGAGCAGCCCTTGTGACCATTTTAGACTATTTCTGACTAAAAAAAGGCAACTATCAGCCAGTTACAGGTATTGCAGCTTCTCAATGACCTCGTAAAACACAGGGTTTTGTCTCTAACTCACCAACAGGGGGAAAACAAACTCATAGAATCAGAGAGTATGCTGAGTTGGAAGGGATCCACAAAGATCATCGAGTCCAACTCATCTCTATTTGCGTAGAACCAAGAAAGAACTTGACAGGAGGGAGGGGAAAAGATACAGTGCAATCAATTAGAGTCACATTTGGCAGA